GCTGATGTCGCTCCTGGCTCCCCCCTCCACTTCTTCCCACTTGGTCTGAGAAGTTCTCTCTACTTCCTGGATCTATCTTACTTAGCCTTCTCATGGTCAGTAACCTCTTAACCACTATCGACAAACAGCTGGAACTACAGTTTGTAGTAGGAGAAAACAGCCAACAGGCTACAGTCAATCTCTCTATTCTCTTGTTTCTCTAAGAGGCTGTCTGCTTGTATTTAAATGTGATTACTGTTCAAATGTGCAGGTGCGGCACCATTTTAATAACTTTGTATAAAAATACAATACCGTAGAAAGAGTATACTGTAGGCACACTAAGTGAGGAGGAATTTTGTATGAAGGTAGATTGGTAGTAGTTCTTATCCTTAATTTTCTTAAGCGAGATAGGTGGTAACCTCTATTTATACAGGTACGTATCCTTCACGTAACTAAGAGGAAATGTAAGGGGAAACATAAGTGTTGATATGTTTGACTACAATATAAGTAGGAAAAACATGAGTGCGAACGCATTTGACCCTAAAGAACTGCCAAGGAAATCCCATAAAACATGCGTAAATCTGAGGTAGTATAAATGGATAATTAGAACATAATTGTAAATCAAATAACCAATGACCGTACATGATGATGCATAAAATGTAAGAAATAAACCCGAACACCAGATAAGAAAAGCGCACCATAATCCCCTAATCGTATCATGAAATATCAAATGAAATATACATAATATATACTCCGCTGTAGTAATGTCCGTGTCTAGAAATAATACTAAGTAGAAAAATATATGATATTATCAAGGAGAATATACATATGAAATAAATTAGAAAATTCAACAATTACTAATAGTCAGTATATACAGTCTTTGAGTCTACCCTTCCACTCTTCTCTCTTACGGTCAGATCAGCTAGCACCCTACTGCCTCCTTTCCTCTTCCTCTGGTTATTGCCTACAGCGGACTGGTCTCCTTCTTTCCTCTATGGTATTACACAGCCTTCTTGGAGTAGGTCTGAGGAGGATTTACTACCTTAGTGCACTTTACAGAATTACTTTCCACTTGCATTACTCGCAGACCTGCCCCTCAGGGTCCCTATATAGCTAGCTTTTAATCTTTTTTTAGGGGGAAGGGGATTTCTCAGTAGGTTTTCCTGCCCCTTTCTGCTTTCTTTTTAGTTAGGATTTCTTTGCTCATCTCTATAGCTAGGCTTAGGTTGCTTTTCTTTGAGGCAAGAGGTTTGGTTGGCTCTATATTAGAAGGGCTTTAGAGGTTGACTTTTTCCTATGGCAAGAGGGAGTCTACTATATACCTACTTGTTTTTAGAGTTACCTACTCTCTAACAATTTGATTGTAGATTCTGTAAATGCTTTTATACAAGCTTCAGCCAAAAATGGCCAGAATGTCTTCTTTGTAACCTCAAAGCTCCCCTACTAAAATTCTCACTCTAGGATTTGATAGTAGTAGTTTTTGTAGGAACTAAAAACTGCTACATCAAGTGATTGTATGTCACAGCCACCCAGCCATGGAGACAGAATATGCATGGGGAGCTTCAGCTCAGTTATTAGCCGTAGATTTCTTGGTTGCCACGTGAGGGATTTCCTTTGTACGATGATTGGGATGCTTTGCCGTGCAATGGAACTTGGTGGAACTTGATGGAGACATCACGGCTGCGCACAACGCCAAGGGTTTTCTTTTTGTATTAGTGATCAGGGAGGATTTCTTTCTATATAAGGGGGTGGGCCCCCTTATACTTTATGTTCTTTACGCAATTTGGTAATCTCCTTTGGACACCTGTACCTAGAAATTACATCTCTCTTCTACTCCGCATCCTCTGGAACCCGTGAACCCTGACCCTGAACCCCTGAACCCTGTGCCTTGTGCCCCTCAATTAGATTATATGCCTATTCCTAGACCTCACCTCTAGACTCCTGCCTGTCTCGATTGTGGTATGCCTTGAGCTACCCGACCCTCAGACCCTGTCTGTTACCTTGTAATATACCCATGCCAAGGTTGTAGCTAGGGCGCTGCAACCCCCGAAAATTCGCTGGCTCAGTTTTCTGGGGCACTCATCCTGAGTGCCTGACAGCTCAATGCAACTTGACAGCTCAATGCAACTTTGTGGCTCAAACAACTAGTAAAGCCACATTTAATTTTGTAACTCAGCATAATTTTGTCACTATATCTAATCTTTGAGTATCCTATGACACTGCTATCTCATTAAATATAAACATAGTATATTAAGATCTATATTCAGATTTTACTGACATATTTTAAAATTTTTAAGATGTTCCAACTCTGTTTAATCATATTTGTAAATGTAAAATTATTAGATTTCAACTCTAAAGATATTAGTAAGAGTATGAAAAATTGCCATATTGTAAAAGATTATGTTAGAAATCATAGTATAAATACATAATCTAAGATGGTGCTATAAAATTAGGCTAAGTCACAAAATTAGAGGTGGCTTTACTGGTTGTTTGAACCACAAAGTTGCATTGAGCCACAAATTTGCATTGAGCTGTCAAGTTGCATTGAGCTGTCAGGCACTCAGGATGAGTGCCCCAGAAAACTGAGCCAGCGAATTTTCAGGCATTGCAGCACCCTAGCTGCAACCTTGGCATTGGTATTTGTTGAATGAGGAAAAAGGTAAAACGCAATTATTTTCTACTCAATCCAATATTGTAAAAGTTCAAGTTGGTAAGAAACATGAGATTCATATCCATTGAAAATTATTATCCTCTATTTCCCTTCTACCTTTACTGCTGAAGAACTTTCTGGCCTAAAATAATTTTTCAAATACTCCAACCCCTTTGCATTATTAGTCCACCCAGTTGGAAAGTAATTAATAATAATATCCAGTAGAGTATTCTTATCAATCCAAGCCATCTTAGTAGTTAAATGTATCTTGTAAATTAACATTAGACTAAGACTTGTCCTGTCAGTACAAATTCCTTCCAAAACTATAACTATTTCTTGTATTCCATCTAGTAGCATTTATTATTAGTTCTATATTTACTTTTTTTATTTTGTTATCTTCATTACAAAGGTGACATATTTCATACCATAGAAAGTATCTGTTATAGCAAGCCATCTATCTAAACACCTGCTTCTATTCCAATCTCAACTAGCATTCAACCAACTATATTACTCAGATTTGGAGGAGGCTTGCTATGCTGGGCGCTCTGAGTTGCTATAGTGTACAATATTAAACTACTAAAGAATTAAAGATATACCAAATGAGCAGAGTCAATTATTTTCTTATAAAAGTTTAATATTAACAACTACTTTCTCAGAGCATGAGCAACCTAACATCAACCCAATTTCATTAAAATTATTGATGTTCTTGACTTCAATGACATACTCATACATAAGGCTAGCTAACTAAATAGTATACATATTAGTAAAATACATACTTAATAGTTACAGGTTAAGTATATACTATAGGACTTACTGTATCAAAGTATATTAATAGTACCAAAGAGCTACAGAGTTCAAGCATACAGCAGTGCTTGATCTGCTTGCTGAACTTGGAACTAAGTTTTGAGGGTCTTTGAACAAACTCATACACCTAGTTCTCACCTATTTATGATGTCCCAGTTGTGGTTCCTGATTTCCATTCTTGCAAAAGATAGAGAACCATCTCAGAAACCAAGAACATATGGGATGGCTGTAACCATGAACTCAGAATACAGCAGTTTGCCACTATAGCTGCTTCCTCACCAATTGTAAGCTTTAGCCTTGATTCAGCAGCCCCCTTTATAGTTTTCCAGCCATTAATCCTATCCTTTAAGATTGAGTAACTTGAAGGCACCTCACATGCCTTGGTGATATAATGGATACTGGCTGCCAGTGGCATGCTTGTATTTCATTCACAATGGTACCAAGCAACAGCAAAAAGCATTCAGGATTCTGGAGGAAGTTCTTTTGAGGACATTTTGCTCTGTATTGTTGATCAAAAGAAGGTAAACTGGGAGATTCCCAGTTATGTTTACAAAATCACAAGTGTTCCATCTCATTACGTTATCAATGCTTCACTATGGTTTAATTATGGAAAAAGAAAACTGCCAAGATCTGGCTTGCTGCCGATCGATCCGGACAGCCATTTATCGTTCAGATAACCTGGAGGCCAAGAGTCATGGCTCGCTTTGCCGGGGGCTCGCTATGGCGTGGAATATAGTAACTTATCTTGCGTGCCAAACAGCCTATAAATAAATAAAAAGGAAAAAGACATAATATTTTCGGATATTTTTGGAGCGGGCAAGTCGATTGGGTTAGCTTTGAACAATACCGGTATATCAGAAATCGGGAATTTGGTGTGCAACTTACAAATCTCCAAATCTGTTCCTTCCTTCTGCGGCTTTGTTGACCCAAACACTAACACTGATAGCATAACACCAGAATTCTGCCCTACTATCATCGCCAACCTTGACATCTCCTTCGCTCCGTGGCCGAAGATAGGTTCAACTCTCGCCTCTATGGTTTTTGCCAATGAACATCCTTTTTTCTCTGTCTCCGGGGTTGCTCGTGGGCACTGCACATCCATCATTTCTATTATGCGCACCTCTCCGTACCCACCCGATGCAATTAGGGTCATCAAAGAAGTTGTTCTGCTCTCCGTGTGCATGCGGTTCCTGGCCAGTGTGGGGCTTGGGGGGGGCCTTAAGCAGGGAGGCGGAGACGGATCTTTCCCCCTGATGCCTTATATATCACAGAAGAATATGCGTGGGTACCCTTCAGCTCTCAAAAGGATCAGAGCATAGGCAAGTGGTTTGAAGAAGTCTGGAATTATCTTTTTGACATCCTAGCCTAGCTATGTATCGTGACTCATGGCGAACGTCACAACATTAAGTGATCGGCTTTCCACTAATGCGCCCTCGAAGATTATCCTGAGATCCGTGTATGGAAATTTTGAGATCATGAAAATGTTCTATAACAGAGGGAAATCGAAGAGCGTAAATCTATGATCCATTTCGTCAAGGAATCTTTCTAGAGGCCTGGCGTATCCTTTCTAGTATTCACCCACAAAGAACCAGTCTTCACCGAGGGTTTTGTCTAGATGGTCAATGAATTCCTTAAGGAATTCTGAAGACAAGTGTCGTACAGCATCGAACCTGGTAGAGAAGTGGTTAGCAGAAGCCGAGATAATATGGAGGGGAATGTTCCACCGAAATTCCCCAAGTCCAAGTCCCCGAGCAACCCAAATTCCCCAGTTCTCCATATCATTACGAAAATTAGGGTTAGAATAATCAATGTTAGCAAACATCAGGTAGTCGTAGTTGCCAAGTCCAGATGTATCCACATATTGACACCATTCTTTCTCCTCATTATCGCCTGTTATTTTATATATTGCTTTCTTCTGATCCTCCTGATTATAGTCTATCCCCAAGTGGTACCAATGGGACTTCATCTGACTGTACGTATCTCCTCTTGTGGCGAAAGCAAAGGACAACCACGCTTCGATTTCATATGGTTCTGAAATCACCTCCTTGCGATCTTCGGGGCTGGCTTCAACGACCTGGTACCATTCAGTGTGTTCTGCATTTGCTTTGTGGTTCAAAACAGTGTTGAAAACTAACCCGATATTGTGATGTTTTGCTGTGTCCCGTAGGCGGATAAGGGATTCTTTGTGCCCATCTGGTAGGTCCTGACCATTTATGGTTGAATTCACCAAGGTCGTGCAAATCGTACAGGTTTTATGAGATTAGAATAAAAGGTGTTAGAAAGAGGGGGAACGGACAATATAAGAGCCGTGACTCCATGGACTTCCCGATTTGCAGGCTGGTGGGATCCACAAGGTAGTGATACCAATCTCCTTCAACTTAGGCACCGCGCCTGCTAGGCGGTCCCAATGATGCTGATCAGCGGGAGCATGCCATTCGAACCCTTAAAACATGCCCGTCGTATGGTTCTTGGGGGTTAGAGGTTTTGGGTCTCGCCCAATCCGGTCAGGAGGTTAGCATTGATCTACTTCGCCCAAAGCAACGATACCTCACCATTTCCTGGAGCGTCGATAGGTTTCCACATGATTGTTTGATGCTTATTGAGAGTGTTGGGTGTATAGAGGAGGATGAGGACGCTGGATATCCAAACCTGCAATGGGATTGGTGCATAGGCTTGGGGATATACTCGTAATTTTGTCAGGTTTGTGGACACGACTACTAGTGCATACAACCGAAATACTGCGGCTCTAGCCTATTTTCTGTCCATACGCAATAGAAGCTGTGTTTGTAAAAGATAGAAAATTACGAGTACCACGCGGAAGGAGGTTATGGGACTGCCATCTGAAGTTAAGTGGCCAAAATTATCGGTTAACGGATCCTTTCCCCACATAAATACACCCGCAGAACACCCTTCGGTCGTTTTCTCCATCTCTTCTACTCAAGTGGCCGGTTTGAAGTCGCGTTTCCATTCATGGTATAGGGGTTCTTGGCATGGCCAATGAGTATTTTTAGTACCTAGAACTTGAAGTAACGGATGAGCATGAAGTCATATCATATATGAAAGCATAGAAAACTGTGGGGACTCGGACACCACTCAACAATCAGCAGAGTCATCATGCATCGAAGCCATGCGGGTCCTGGATCAGCACCACGAGTACCAGTACTTATGCGAGCAGTTGTTTTAACTCTCCATTGGTATGCAGGTTTTACCTATGCTCAGATTGAGCAGAAGACGGGTGTGAAAGAAAGAACTGCAAGTGACTTAGTTAGAAGGGCAAAGGTATGGAAATTGGAAGTCTTTTGAATGAGAAAATACCTAACAATTCTGTTTAGATGCGGGCTGCTGACAAAGAAGACTTTCAGGATATGTTGGCCTGCTTAGGAGACAGTCATGGAGGAGGACGATCAGTAAAGTTTCCCGAAGGCAGTAGAGAGTCTGATGCGCTTCATGATTTATCACAAAAAGATGAAGTGCACTGGCAAATGCCATTCGAGGATATAGTAAAAGAGCTAGGAATCAAAGCGGCACGATCGACTCTGGAGCACATCTTTCATGATCAGCATGGTCTATTTCGAAGAAAGGCCACTCATAAGCTCTTTTTATCACCTCAGAACATCGAGTCGAGATTAGCCTTTTGTCATATGGCGTTATACGTTGCTGTTAACTACATTGTTTTCACCAACGAGATGTGGGTCAAGTTTAATTCTGTAAGGCAACAGAGAAACATTACATGCCTTCGTGGAGCGGACCCAAATCAGTGGGCTATCCATGACAAGCAGGATCACAAGACAATTCGTGTTATGTTTTGGGGTGCTACCTGTCATGGTCAGCGTAGTCCCTATCATATTTGAGAGAAAGAAATGGCAGAAAACGAGCAACAATACCGAGATATTGTTGTACACGAGAACCTTCTATGTCGACAAAAACAGGAAGTCAATCAGATGCAAGCAGCAATACCAGGGACATGGCAGGCAGATGTATTGCTAGAAATTAACAATAGTATTGAACAGCAAAACTTCGAAGAAAATCAGACAGGACGAAGAAAACGACGTCACCATGGCCCTTCACAAGTGTTCCGTGAACAGCAATTGATCTATCAAAGTAAGGGAGGAATAAACTGGATCTCATACAGGACTCGAATCCTAGAACCGCTTCTGTATCCTTGGATTAGCGACCTACAGCAATCAACTGGTATGCCAGTAACATATCTGGTTGAAGATAATGCTCCTGCCCACCAAACAGTCCAGCGAGTTGATTCCGAGACACGGGTACAGAAAGGTATCATTACCTTTGCTTGTCCTTCCTGCTCACCCGATTTGAACCAAATTGAACCTGTTTGGTGTGACCAAAAAGACCAAATTGCTACGTTCCAATTTACCAGAGCCAGTCAGGAAACAATTGAGCAGGCGAAAGCAGTACTTGTACAGACTTGGGAGGAATATCCTCAGGAAAGCATTGACCGCAGATGTGCTAGTTTTCATGAAAAGCTTGAATGGTGTATTTTGCATAGTGGAAACAACAATTATGATGGGTAGCTGTTAATGTAAAATTATATTTTATAGTTCTTTCAATTGTATCTTTTTGAACCGGTCACCACTGTCATGATCTGCTTGTCCAGTATTTCGAATTTCCCATATTATGAAATGCCACTTTTTCCATGCCAAGAACCCCTATTCTATATATGGAGACACGACTTCAAACTGGCGACTTGAGTACACATCTCTCTTCTATAACTTTTTCTTTTTCTGCCTGTTCCTGTAACGGGTCCTTTCTCTCCTTCAGTTTTTTTCTCAACACTCTCTGAGACAAACATGAATACCGTTTGTAGAGCTATAACAAACAAACTTCATATAGGATCCCTTCGGAGATTTCCATCGTAGCCATGTAAGATACTAATCAGTCGGTAATACTGAATTACTTCTCTAACTAGCTTGGTCAGAAAGCAACAGCTGACAAAGAACCCCCTCAGCAATTCCCTGCAAATCCTGCTAAACGTTATGTCAATTGGAAGGAGCTTTTAGAGCACTCCACGGCCCAAGAAAAGGTATAGCCCCATTCCATCATGGCAGACGATAAAGAGCATGACAGGACAATGTCGCCCATAGGATAATGTCACATCTCTAAGAGTATTAGTAAGTAAACTAGATTTACTCTTGGTGATTGCAACCAGATTTGCCACATGTGACATTATCATGTCGGCGACATTGTCCTGTCATGCTCTTTATCCCTTGAGCAGTGTGAAACACTAGAATTCGGTTCCAGCTGCACAAGGCCAAAAAAGGTGCACTTAGCGCTTATCAAATCTAGGAGTAATATCAAATGATAATAGTTACAACGAGAAAGAATCTAAGAAGACACAACGATGAAATTGTTTTATACCATACCTAGCCATTCTGATAGATTGATAGCTACAAAGACAATAAAAGCCAACTGGAACTAGAAATAGAGCCTCTATCATACTTATAACCAATCCCGATAGGTGGCAAACAGTACCAAGAGTGTGGATTTTTAAATCCTAATCTTGACAATTGACTTTTCCGGGTATGGAATACGGTACGAAATTGAATAACCGGACTATGGGGTGCCACTGGGATGGTAGCACTGCTTTTGACAATGAGGTTACAGGTACTTCACTGTACTCTATTCTCCTTGGAAGATAAGTTTATATTGCTTTCCATTCCTTCTCCAGAAGAGGAATTTTTAAACTACTCCCAGTACTTGCGATATTGAAGTGTTTTTAAAATGGACTGCTATTGCATACCACCAAAACCCAACCCTTTTACTGGGATCTAGGTTGTATGGAATAGCAGTCTATTTTAAAAGCGCTTCAATATCGCATGTAGCCCCCACAGTCATAAATCCCTAGCCTCTTTCCCAACTCCACCTCACTTAGTGGCCCAGAACTACACATTTTTTTTATCATTCTCCGCTTCTGCCCCCCTCCCTCCTATGTAGACCTCCACTCAGCCCACTGCCTGAACAGGTCCCTGTCCAATGTAGGAGGCACAAAGCAGTCTCTTGTCTAGGAAATGAGTAGGATCGGGCCCTACATGGTGTAGGAGCAGGGATGCTAAGGGAAATATTTTTCCAGGACTGGAGTAGCAGTGGGGCCAGCAAATAAAAACCTATCCTGCCCTGCCCTCTAAGGAATACTACTCCATAAGAGTTCCCAATAATCATCGGCAGTTTCCTGCTATCCATGTTAGCCTCCCGTTATCCCCAAAGGTCTCCTACTTTTCACTTTACTAACCCTGTTTTGCCCGGTAAAACCTTCTGTCTGATTTAAAGAGAATTATCCTCTACCTTTACTATCTTAGATGAATCACACATGCCCACCATGCTCTGCCTCTCTAAAGGCTCTTCACAGTCCTCCCAAATATCTGGAATTGCTTGTTTGACTAATTTTTTATAATGAATATGAAAACAACTCTGACAAAGAGGCAGCAGCTTACATCCTGGTCCCATACATCCAAAGTGGCTTCATAGTGCCTATACTTCTTTCTTGTGCATTCCCCACAAGGTAAATCGGTATTCAGCACATTCTGCTTGGGATCCTCCCATATGTATAAATTTATGATCATCCAGATTACCAGGAGGAGGAGGAAGTGAGGTATGATATTATAGCCTGCTATAATGGGGTGAGGTTGTCTTCCGGAGGTAGTAGGACTTCTGTGGTCCAAGGTATTTTTGTCCATAAGTTTTAACAATAGATTTAGCAAGGACTTCATAAAATATTCAGGATGAGCCTGGCCAGTCTTGAGTAGGAAGAGAAGGTGGATAACACAATATTAAATAAGAATTAATAATTGTTGTATCTAAAAGCCAGTAGAAGATTGGAGACCAGTTGTGTAAGCATTTTTGCTATGTAAAATAATAACTGCGGTACTGGTCTGCAATATCTACTCCAACTTTATAATTATAGTTATGAGTAATGGCTGGTATCGGGACATTTGCTCGCTTATTAAGGCCAAAAATATGCCAAATTGCTGGGCCATTGGTACTTGATTTTCTTGGTTTCTTTTGTTCTATTATAATTCAGTCTCCCTGGCCAAGTATATGAATTGTGCTTAGGAAATAGACAGCACTATTATCCTACCACTGGACAGCCAGAACTTGTCCATCAGGTTGAGCAGATCTATCAGACATTTCATTCCAAGGAATATTTTTTCTTTGATCTGCTAGGTCCGGAGGGAATGCTGATTTATTGACTCTTGCCATACCATAAGCCCCAATTCCAAGACTCCTAAGCTTTATAAAGAGGGACCAGGAGGGAAAGTAGTTATCTATATAGATATCATAATGTAATTCAGACTTGTAGGGTAGACTACAAGCAAGTTGAAAGACTGTTGAACCCTAGGAGTAAGGTTTTCTTGCAAAACCAATCCTGTAAATAAGTCTGACCAAGAAGCAAAGATCCAGCTATAAGTGTAACCTTTATCACAGAGAGCAAAAACTTTATAACTCTCTGTGATTGGCTTGCTGGGCATGCAATAGCTATAGTGACTGCAGCCACCAAATCTAATCATTATTTCATCTACCATTTGTTATATTGGAGGCAGGTAGGTAGAACTTTTGACAGCGTAATTGAACCATAGTATTGAGTAGTTCAAGCTTTTCAAACCATTCTGATCATGTAAGCTGTAACTTGGGATCCGAAATATGTAGATACTGCTTGATTTGACTGAAATGTTCCAGACTCATTGTGTAAAATATCCACCTCTCTCCTTGCCCTTTCCAAAACCTACTGCTTTCACAATCTCTCTTTACACCCATATATATTAAAAGAGCCAAAAAGACCCTGATATCTTCTGCCCTTACCTTCCGCCATGGCCAACGTTCAAAGTGAGTTCCAGCACACTTCTCTTTGGCATATGCATTTGTGCCCTTGACAAGTACATCAACCACCTCTGAATCCCAAAAGAGCTCAAATACTCGCAACCCTATATCTTTTTGGTTCATGTCCTTCCAAGGTAGCAATGGTTGTGCGACATGGTCAATACGGGGACCTAGAGGTACATATGGCTTGCGGAATATGGATCTGCTTTGGTTGCATATCCCGTTAACATTATTCGAGTCTGATATCAGAGAAGAATTCAGTGGGAGAGGAGCGAGAGGATTTTGATGCCCTTCGATTTCTGACATTTCAATGGATTTGCTGTATCACAAACATCTATTTTCTCACACTCATCGGTAACGAGATATGATGTTGTCATCCTCCAGAATATCCTTTCCATGTAAAGGATAGGGGCTTCTAGACTAGGAATAGTGTACTGGAACCGAATTTTAGTGTTTCACACCGCCCAAGGGATAGGTCATCGGGCAGCTTTACTAAGGGCTTCTGGAGAGGTTGAACGCGGGGGTAGACAAACTTAGGGATGAGCTGAAGAAGAAGGGGAGCGAGAAGGTGGCGAGAGTGGATGTGGAGCTTGATAAGTTTGACTCCAAGTGGAATTCCCGATTCGAAAAGCTCGCTCCCGGTTCGAAAAACTCGACTCCTGGCTCGAAAAAATCGACTCCCGGTTGGACTTCCAGCTCGACAATATCAACATCCGGTTTGCGGGGATCGACACTCAACTTGAAAAAATTGACACCCGTATCCCTTGGGCGGTGTGAAACAGTTAAACCCGTTGGTGGATGAGGGGATTCGCCATTGTGGTCAAGTCACTCGGCCACCAGCAGGGCTTTTACCTCTACCAATGAGAGCTCAGTTAAAACTGTGGACAAGTCACTCAGCCCCCTGGCAATGAATTTGACTGTTTCACACCGCCCAAGGGATAGAGAAAATGGACGTCAGACTAATTGGGGTCCAAACGGTATGTTCTGAATTCGTGATTCTTGAGCTTAGGTAATGCTACTAACTTACGATAAGACCCTGGGGGCCCTGGAGCACAGGGGAGCGGTTACGACATTGGGTCGGTTGATGCTGTTTCCGGTATGGTTTGGATCTGCCACACAATTTACTATAGGTTACTACCATTTGGCAAAGCTGGTGGGAGGGGGCATCAAAATAGCATACGACAGGTATGCTGAGTGGAGGGGGGTTTGAGGGGGGGGTGCTGGTCCTAGTTTTTTTTTTTAGAGAATAAAATTAATGGTGAAAAGTGGAACTTTTTGTGAGAGTGGAACAAGTGACCCACCCTGCATATGATATGAAAAATGGTAGCCGAAACAAGGACTCCTAAGGCCCTCCCCCCATCAATGCTCGCCAGCCTCAATCCCCGCCGGGCTCCAATCGCTATCCTGCTCTAATCCCCACTAGGATCTCCAGCTCTAACCCCCATCCGGCTCTGATCCCCGCCGGGATTTCCAACAACATCCCAACGGGGCCATAGTCGCCACTAGACTCTAATCCCCGCCGGGGCCTCCAACCATAGTCCCCACCTGGTTCTAATCCCCACCGGACCTCCAACTCTAAGCCCATCAGAGCTCTAACGGCCATCTGGCTCTGGTCCCCGCCGGGATTTCCAGCAACACCCCAATCCCTTACCTTGTGGTCGAAATTCATAGCTGCGTAGCGCGTTCGGTTCACGGCTGATCCCTTCGTGCGTATTTGCACCCACCCCTCCGTCATCCCTTACCTTGTTACCGAATTTCACGGCAGCGTAGCGCTGGTGGGTACTGGCCGACAAGGGTAGGTATTTTTCCGGTGGGCGGCCCGCTGTCCTGAAGAGTATTCTCAGAAAATCTCATTTCTGTCATGGCCATGCTAATCGGTACTTTGGGGGGGTGTTGGGGTGAGAATGCACAAACGGAGTAACACTCAGCATGGTCATGATCGAAGTATCATCCTCTGTGCACACTGAATCACGTTTGCCCCAGTAGGCTAGTACCTAGTAGTCTGGACAGGGCAGAACACCTGCCTGGTGGTCCACACAAAGAGTACGAATGCGGCCGATAAATATATTCGTCACGTGCCTTATCTAAGGACAAATCGCAGCCAAAAGGTGCACCAAAACTTTCTTATCAGACTCACGTGACGAATATATCTATCGGCCGCACTCGTACTTGTACTCGAGTACAGCCGAGCCATTGGTAACTATCTCCAGTAAGCGTAGAATAGTGCCTGCCGTGATTACGAGGTAAGGGATAGGGTATTTTTCCGGCGTCCTGTCACAACCAGAGAGACGGTTTATCTCCTAGCCAACCCCGTTTAGAATGTTGAACATCAGCTTATTTCAGTACTCGTACCTGGGAGCAAATCTATGCGGCCACTCTTGCTTCTATCATGGCAATGCTGAACTGTACTGATTTTGCGGTATTCTGAGCACTACATCGCTTCTGAAGCACAATGTTTTTCCTATCACGATTGCTCAAATAAGCTAGTATTAGTAAATTTATCTGGCGCTAGCCATGACTACAAGGTGAGAAGGGTCGGGATGATAGAGTCGTGACAAGCAGGGGATACAGTTGGTGAAGGTCTTAGGAGTATTGGGGAAACGGTACGGGGCTAGCTCAGGGCCCAAAGGGCTATATAAAAGAGAATCCAGAAACGGCTCCCTCTAACCATTTTTTTTACCCAATCCAGCCTGCACGCTTAGATACTCGAGTATACCGGTAGCACCCGTCCTGCCAAGTACTGTACTCCTGGTAGGGCGAGGTCGATAGCCACCATTTCATGTAGCATCGCGAGCAATCCCGGGTCACTCAAGGGCACAGCATTGATCCACGTGACAAGGAACAATCGCTCGAAACGGTGACCTAATTCGGATACCCGAGTGCTTTTTGGTGACAGCTCGAGATTGTGCACCGGGCTCAATGTGCGTGACTACTTGTATACGAGTAGCCTTCCCGTGGTACTGTTTAGTTAGGCGCGGAGAAGCGCGCTGTGTTGAAAGTTTAGGTCGTTTCCATTAGCACTTGTGGGGTTGTGCTCTACCGTACTAGGCTCATTAAATACTCCCACCACGCCTACAACTCTACAGTACGGCACAGTGCCCCCGAGCTCCATATACCAGTAAAAATGGACGGGGGCTCAACGAACAGGGGGGGTTCAGCGAACAATACACTAAAATCGTCTTGGCGAATGGTGGTTTTGTTTGGTCTGTTCGTTGACCCCCCCCGCCTATGTTATATCCGGACCCTTTGACGCCGGGGGTCTGCCCTTTTGGCATGCCCTGATACTCAAGTGCCCGGATATATACGGAATTTGCGAGTATGATATCATACTAGCATTTGTACAGATCCCATAGCCTACTGCTATCATACTATGTATGATACCAGTACCCGAGCACAATCACCTTCCTTCAAGGCCCTCTGCCCTCAGATATTATTATGGTCGAATGGAGCATGATCATCAAATATAATTGTATGACGCCAACACAGGGGAACACCGGTACCGTATCCCTCGACCATCAGGGGCAGGGACCTCAAGCCTACCGGTACTTTAGGGCGCAAACCATGGAATTCAACATCTCCCGACTCGCGTCGAGCGGCAGCAAAGCTGGCAAATACAGATATAATGCCCGCACCGTGTGCCACCCCTACTTTACGAGTACTTGTATCTGTACTTTATCCACGGATACCGGAAAACCAGAATAACCTCGCATCAAATACCGGTGCCCTTGCATAAGTCACAGTCTTGGCAAACCTATCATGCCACGCTTCAACCGCACCTCTATTCCTCCTCACCCAAACATGGCCCGAGCCTGGACCCGCGATAAAGAGCAAGCTTCCTCCGCTGAAGACCAGATCCCCGAAACACCTCCCGAGGGTGTCGAGATATATACAGATGACAATCCACCTCCGGGACCTATATTTAAGTGAGTTTTCCACCCACGGTCTGTGTTTCGCTCCTTTACGCGAATCCTGGCTCTCGTCGCGGCTATTGGCTGAACAGAGTGTTTCGCAAGTTACTGGTGCCAGAGGTACAGTCTATTCACCCGCTACGACGAAGGCGTCTGGATAACGCGGAGCGGATGGTTCGAAGTGACCCCTGAGAAGGTTGCCAGGTAAATTCAACTAGAAGCCGCAGACTTTCACCTCCCTCTTCCATCTCTCTCCTCTACCCCCGCTTCTTCCCCTCTAACATCCACCCCAGGAAGATAGCCGACCACGTGCTTCACAGCCCGGTCGAGACGGTCCTCGACGTGTTCTGTGGTATCGGCGGTAACGCGATTCAGTTCGCCCTCTCTCCTTCCTGCAAACGCGTGATCGCAGTGGATAAGGATCAGACGGCGATAGACTGCGCGAGGCACAATGCGAGGATATACGGCGTGCTGGATAAGATTGAGTTTATCGTCGACGATGTTTTCCGGTTGATCGAGGAGCGGGATCCGAGACTTGCGGCGGATGCAGTGTTCATGTCGCCGCCCTGGGGGGGTCCGAGCTATCGGAATTTTGGCGTGTTCGATTTGGATGCCCTGGAGCCTTATTCGGGGTATGTCCCGCCTCCTTCGTTCCTTTTCTGGGGATGCGCTGATGGGGTTGAGGGACAGGGCGCATTTGGTCGAGCAGGCACAAAAGATTTCGCCCAACTTTGCTCTCTACTTGCCCAGAACTTCAGATCTGAACCAAATCGCGAAGATGGTGCCCGGTCCTAGGGTCCAGGCTATCCATTACTGCGTTCGGCAGAGGAGTAAGGTGCGGGATATCCTTTGACGCCTTGACGTTTTTTCGGTGCAATTGACTCACTGGTGGAGTGGAACTCGATCTAGGCCCTGACGGTATATGCGGGGTGCTTATCAAAAGTATAGGTATTGCTTCTAGACTATCGATTGGACGGAGAAAGGATTCACGTGGGACTTGGGCACACGGATATCATGGTTAGGTGCGGAATGAGTAGGGATGGACATATGGCCACATAGTTTAGCGTTAAACGGGCAAGCATGATGTAATACAAATGTCCCATAAGAACCACCGTACTGTACAGTAGCATGTAATCCGGCGATACTCCGCCGACGATGGGGTGGTGTTTGCCCCTCCTATCCAAACCCAATAACTCGAGCCGCCCCATCGCCCAGGCATGATATAGCATTTAGACCCCAAGTGCTCGTAGAAGGGGAGGGGGAGACACTATACAGTACGAGCACGCTACAATGATATTGTGCGTCAATTAATCCTAAGAGATGGCGCGATCGACAGCTATTGTTACCAAATGGGCATTGCTTCCTTCCCCCAATGATCCCTCCCACCCACCAACCAACCAACCAACCACGGCCTTCCAAACGGTCGATCGCGGGAACCATCGCGGATAAGTTACGGCTCCAAAAATAAATGTGGAGATCCTGGAGTTCTGCAGAGTGCAGTACCCGTACTACCCTACGGACTCATTATTTGTTGCTGCGCCACGGGTGCCCGTATATAAAACTCGCCAAAATTATGTAGCCAAGACCAACGTGCATGCGTATGATATCTTTTCTCTATATACTCTTCTCGTTAAATCCTCGACCTTATTCGAAGTCCTAAGCTACCGTATCATGGTGAGCCTGTCGTGTCGTGTCGTGTCGTACAAAAACCTGTGTAAGTCCCGCTCCCTCTGAGCGTACGGTACTGAACAAACGGTGGAAAAATACATACAATCACTTCACAATTTACCGTTCATAGCACAAGTACGGTACTCGTACTAGAGCACAAATGGCGGTATTTTATTTCATTTTTGTTCCTTCCCTTTCTGTTATCCGCACATTCCGGACACGGACACTAAAAGCACTGTATGATACGAGTGCAAGTACGTGTATGATGGCCAGTAAGGGAGGTGTGCGAGCCAGAATGGGGTTACAGGATCTTCGCTGTGGGTCATCGGCATCGCGGTGCTCCGATTGGCCACTGCTACAGTGCAGGTTACCGTACCTCCCCCCCATGTATCATACCGGTAGCTGGGTGCTGGCTGGATGGGGGACGTTTTCCAAGGATTGGTTATCACTGGGGGTGGTGTGACATGCTTGTTCCGGACCTTCCGGTTTCGTTCGTGGCCAAGGTGTGCGGATCATGTATTGTAACCAGCCCTGGAAATATAGTGCGAGTGATATATTGTGATTGGGGCAATAAGCTGAGAGGTATGATAAGAGTAGCAGGAGTACTGTACTGTACTGTACTCGCGCTAAGGTTGTGGCTTGAGTGCCACAACCCGCAGGTTTTAGGAGGTATGATAACCAACAACGTAATAATGCTTTGAAATGGAGAGCCCGGAGAAGAATTCTTCCCCGTATGATAGTTCGCTAAGGAATTGATGATGAGTAAACTTGATGGCTCAATAGTACGAGCACTTTATGGCTCAACGCCACATTGCAGCTTAATATGATTTCACATTTTTTCCTTGAACGTAACTTCATTGAAATTTGAATGTGAGTTTATCACGTATATATTTATAAAACTCCTGTAGGTTTATAAGTAAAAAAAAATATTTTGACTTGAAAATTAAAGATATTAAGGGCAAATAATATTGTAGTTAATGGATATATCACTGAGTAGAATAATACAACATATAAGCTTGGCTGAAAAAAGTATGGTTCCTGATTAATATTAAGAAGGTAGTATTTTTAAATTGTAAAATTTATTCTTTAGATCCTGTAAAGAAGCAGATGAAATTTTTCTATATTTTTAGAGGTAGCTGACTAGTACTTGTGCTATAGACTTTAAATATCATAAATAGTTACAATGTCATTATTATAAAGATATATTTAACTTAAGTTGTAACTTAAATATAATTTTGAGTTATAAAGGTGGATTAAACTATAGAAATAATGTAGTTCTGAAAGCGTAAAAACTCTACTCAATTCTTATATAAAATATATTCATTATACTTTAAGCCCTCCTGCAATTGAAAACTCTCAGTAATTATAGGTTCCAGTTGATAGAGTTTCTCTTAAGTTTTTTATTTTTTAAATATGAGATTTCTATTGTCAAATACCTTCCTCGACTCTTATCTGTCTTGCTTGTCCTTAGATTCTATTGTTAATATTAATAGCCTGAGTTGGCTATTATCTTATTGCAAGATAGATCTGTAAAATGAAAATAGAGGTACCAGAACTTGTAACTGAGGTTAAGGTTTGGTGCAAGTTGTTCTAGCTTTTCAAAACAATTATTATTTTTACATATGGCGCCCAAATACAAGCGCTGCTAACAAACGAGGAACATAAGTTGAAAAAAGGAATGCCTTCTTTCCTGGTTTCGATATATCCGAAGTATCATAGGATATCTCAATATTCTCATATAGGTTTTTAGGGTAAGATAGATGTTCGGTTTGGTAGGCTCGGTTGGTTGGTTTCCAAGAACGTGAAATGTTGTGATCCTTTTCCTCGTGCTATACTTCACAGTTGGATTCCGCATAAGAGTTGGCATTGTTGCCATGAATTCATAGGCTGCCGTCACTGAAGAAACGCGCGAAGACCGTACCGGAGGTAAAGGGAATTGAATCTCCCCTTTTTTTCCAAGCCGGACGGATCGCACTTCCATGGAATGGAAAAGGGATCTCACACACCTTGAAGCTGGATGGAGGTGCCAAATTCACTAGCTTTCGCTTCTCAATTCCTTTTCTGAGCACGATATATTGCCATTGTAGAGTTACATACGTTCCCTCCTCTGCTTTTCCATTCTTCTTCCAGTGCTCCATAACTCGCTACCATTTTATATATCTCTATGATATTCGTTCGCACCTGCAAGACCACTCCTACTTTCTACTTGCCCAGCCACTTCCCGGGGAAGGAGGTCGAGAGCTGGATCAATTGCAGTATCTTTTGGCAGCCTTTGTCTCTTTTTTTTTCTCTTGTGGCAAGGTAAGGGATACGATGGTGGTGCTTGCGCTCTGATTCAAGGTCGCTCCGATTCCTGAGTTACCCGTAACGGTGTCTGATGCCTTTCGCTTGCCTGCCGGTATCTTCTGGTTCAGGTTTCTGTCTGATAGCAAGTAAGGGTAGACCAGAGGTATAGAAAGAAGTCGATCCTGCACAAGAGCCTCATGATATATCACTCATATCTTGCTTCCGGAGCTGGATATGATCGTCGTCCTTGGCGGGGACACAAACTGTCCGGAAAATACATGTCTCACCACCCTAAGCGGTGCCTGCGCCATGCCTACCGTACTCGTACGAGGGTAGAAAATCCAACTTCTCAGTTACAGCGCAGCCAGGCAGCCTCTCATAGCCTCGTACAGACGGCAGAAGGAAAGGGACTGGCTAGCGATTTTATTTATTCTACCCATGGATAATATGGATTTAGCCGTGGAAAATTCGAAAGGCAAGCTCTGAAAGTTTGTGCACAGCAATTATGTTTAATCGACGGCTGATCGTTTTGCTGGCCGACCGTAGACGTTGCGTACCACCGGTAGCAGTCCGTCTGCCGGCGGAGGTGTGATGTTCGGTTTGGGTTTGCACTCGCAGAAATACCGATGGGGAGGGGTCCTTGTTTCCCTGACATACCGGTACGGAACCACTCATGTGGGGATGCATGTCATCTTTTGGGGAAGGGAGGTTGGATGGGTTGGGCTCGCGGTGCAGTGGAAAGGCGACAAAGAAAAGGGGAGCGAATTGTGAGGCTCGTACAATGGGATAGCCAGATATCCTAGCTGTAAAATACGTTGGATATATAATCTTTCCCTATGCTATCCGGTGGAAGGTGCCCCCCCGGTTGCGGCTAGCACTGTTGACATAGTCTATGCTTGATAATGGGATCCTTTGATGTTTCCACTTCTAGCACGAGCATTCGAGTAGAGAGATCTTTAGAACACTGTGTTCAAAGGCATCCCGGAAAAGTTTATGGATGCAAGGGAGGAGACATAGGAAAACAATATGGATACAGTTGGCTCACCAATCAATTAGGGATATGATACAATATGTCCGGCATTTTTTTTAGCCCTTCTCCAAATTCGTATCACCATTCTGGAGGTTTACCTGCTTGCTCTCCGAAAGGACAGATGTCAGGAACGCTTGTGCCGGGTTGCAACAGGGATCCCTGGAGCCTACACCAAAAGACCACAGTTTCCTCTGCAAAAATTCCGCCAATGAGAGGCCGAGAGGCACACCTAACCCTAACGTGGTCGTGAGCCCGCCTCTGCATTCAAGAAGACCTCATCCAGCTCCCTCCTTTCGTTCTTCTTCCCCTGTCCATCACGACGTTCCCTTCACTTCCACATAGCCCCTTCCCTTTCACTCTTTTCTTCATCCATCCATCTCCATCAAAGAAGAACACGACTTTTTTCTACATCCATCATAATGAAGCACTTCAAGGAGCTCACGGCCGTAGTTTTGACACTGTTGGCTACCGTTGCATACGCTCAGGAGGGCGAGGCGCCCACCGTTCCCTCGGATGTCGAAGTTCTCGAAAAGGACACTTTTGACACTTTTGTCACCAAGCACCCATTGGTCCTTGCCGAGTGTAAGTTTGTGGTTCCTTTGTCGAAACGTCGAAACTTGGGCATACGTGTCCTTCTGCGTGTTTCTCAGCTCGAGATCCCCGCCGCACACTCAGGGTTACTAGTGAGGACTTGGGACGAGCTCTGGCTAACACCGATTTTGCTAGTTTATGCTCCTTGGTGTGGGCACTGCAAGGCTCTTGCTCCAGAGTATGAAGATGCCGCTACAAAGCTGAAAGAGAAGGACATCCATCTTGCCAAAGTCGAGTACGTGGTCACTTATTCCGTATTTTTTTTTTTTGAGCCAATCGCTAATTTCCGCATAGCTGTACCGTTGAGGCCGAGCTTTGCGAGCAGCACGGCGTTCAGGGATACCCTACCCTCAAGATTTTCCGTGGTCCTGATAACTCCTCGCCCTATTCTGGCCAGAGGAAGTCTGATGCGTAAGTTAATCGGTTACACCTGTATTGCGGTTATATATATGCGTAGCTTATCGCTAATTGTTCGGCAGCATCGTTTCGTACATGACAAAGCAGGCTCTTCCCGCTGTCTCGCTCTTGGATGGGCAAACTATTACCGAGTTCAAGACTGCTGATAAGATTGTTGTCGTTGCCTATCTCTCCGCTGACGATAAGGAGAGCAACGCCACCTTTACCGCTGTCGCTGAGAAGCTTCGTGACAACTACCTCTTTGGTGCCACCTCTGACTCTGCTCTTGCTGAGGCTGATGGCGTCAAAGCTCCGGCTATTGTTCTTTACAAGACCTTCGATGAGGGAAAAGTTGTCTATGGTGGAGCCTTCACCGCCGAGGAGATCACGGCCTTTGCTAACACTGCCTCCATCCCCCTCATGGGCGAGGTTGGCCCGGAGACATACGCTGGATACATGGCCGCCGGAATCCCCCTCGCCTACGTTTTCGTTGATGGCGAAGAGGTTAAGGAGAGACTCACTGCCGCCATCAAACCAATTGCCCAGCAGTACAAAGGCAAGATCAACTTCGCTACCATCGACGCAGTGGCCTATGGCGCCCATGCCGGCAACCTTAACCTTGAGGCCAAGTGGCCCGCTTTCGCCATCCAGGACACCGTAAAGAACCTCAAGTTTCCTTTTGACCAGAAGAATGAGATCACCGAGCAGTCCATCTCCGAGTTCGTTAAGGATTACGCTGAGGGCAAGATTAGCCCTAGCATCAAGTCTGAGTCCGTTCCCGCGACCCAAGAGGGGCCGGTTCATGTTGTTGTCGCCAACAACTATGATGAGATTGTCATGGACAACGACAAGGATGTCCTTATCGAGTTTTACGCCCCGTGGTGCGGCCACTGCAAGAACTTGGCCCCCAAGTACGAAGAGTTGGCTGCTCTTTACTTCGACAACCCCGAATACAAGGACAAGGTGGTTGTTGCCAAGGTAGACGCTACTGCCAATGATGTTCCTGTCGAGATCCAAGGATTCCCAACCATCAAGATGTACCCTGCCGGCGCAAAGGGCTCGCCAATTGACTACGCTGGTTCTCGCACTGTTGAGGACCTTGCCACCTTCATCAAGACCAACGGTAAATACAAGGTTGACGCTTATGTCCCACCTCCACCAGAGCCTGAGACCGAGGAGGAGGTTGAGGAGGTCGGGGCCGAGGAGCCGGCGGAGGAGACTCCCGTTGGATCGGCTGCGGCAGCTGCTACTGAGACTGCTAAGGAAGGCGTCAAGAAGGCTACCGAGGGTGCACAGGCTGTTGTTGGCGATGATGACTATGTAGGTGGCTCTCTATCTCAAGTGCTCTAACCCCTGCTAATCACTGGATAGGTACCTCATGAGGAATTGTGAACGCTTGTATTTAACTAACTTTCGAGACGTATTGTTGATGGCGAGGGCTGGAGAAATGGGGTCCTGTGTCGTTCCATATTTTTGACGCAAGCCGCTTATGGGGTTATCGTTTTTCGGTTTTCATTTTTTTCTTCAACCAACCGGTCCCTTTTTTTCCTCTTACTCTATGGGTTATATGTGTTTTTATGATACGGGGGTTTCTTTTCTCAATGTGACTGTACAACGTTTTCAAAAGTTATCGTGTTAAACATACCCCCGAAATCGCTTGGGAATGTGCGATGATTTTGTTGCAGTACGGGTAAATTAGGTGTCCCTTCCCGCTACTAGTACTTGTATCATGATAAATTGTGCTTTGTCCAGTGCACCTAATGCTACAAATGCCGGTAATGATAAGGGCCCTGGTGTGCCTGTTTTGAGCTAGGTGTTGCGGCTATTGTGGATCAATATCTTGGCGTCACGTGTGATAAGATCTCGCTGGATTTGAGCTTGACTGAGCCCTTAGTCTATGTTAGCTCTTGCCAAACTATCATCCCCACCATCCATCCAAACATCATCACCATCTACGGCATCCACATGTCCTGGCTCAAGAAGTTTCTGCCAGTTGCGGAGGAGGCTCCCCGGGGATTTGGAGCTGGATTCGGGTTTCAAGTCCTAAAGAATACCAGCCCCATGTTAGAAATAGAGCCCTGGTTCGATTACATCTGCGGTATCAATGGTCGACCAATCGTCAGTACATTCCGCCCCGTCCCCATCTGTCACCAGACCTAGAGCTAACCTCCCCCTCCTCCCCGACAGGAAGACGGGAACGCCATGCTCTTCAAGCAAGAGGTCGGAAACTGCGCGGGTCGGGACGTAACCCTCCGCGTATGGAGTGCCAAGGGCCAGCGCACCCGGGACATAAGCATCCCCCTCCCGCCCGATGCTACAGGCCTGGGCCTAACCCTACAATGGGCCTCCCTCGCCGCATCCGAGGACGTCTGGCACATTCTGGATGTAGCGCCCAATTCCCCGGCCGACCACGCGGGCCTGCTCCCCTACGGGGACTACATCATCGGCACGCCGGAAGGCGCCGTGCGCGGGGAGTCTGCCCTGGGCGAGCTTGTGGAGGACTTCATCGAGCGTCCGCTGAGGCTGTACGTGTACAATCATGAGTACGACGTCGTGCGCGAGCTGACTATCACCCCGCGGAGGAACTGGGGCGGGGAGGGCGCCCTGGGTTGCGTTTTGGGGTTCGGTGCACTGCATCGTGTTCCGCCGCCGCTGACGGAGCCACCAAACGCGCCTGGGGAGACGCTGTTTGATTCTGCCAGCGGTGTGTCGTCGGAAGCACACCCACCGGTGGATCAACAGAACTTTATCACCCCCGCCAGTATGCACCCCGCCCTTACGCGAACTCCACCTCCGGCTCCTAGGTTCAGAACGCAGTCCCCCGTTGGCGGGCAGTACCCACCGCAGCCGCCGAAATCGGGCTCTATCAGGCATAACAAGCCCAGACACCACGGGCACCACATGAACCCCTCTGCCATGGACGCCTTCATGCGCGAGGAAGAGCAGAAGAGCAGGGAATTGGACTACTCTGGGTCTGGCAGGAATTCCCCGGTTGCGGGGCCACCGCCACCTCCGCCGAGGGGTGGCCCGCCGCCGAGAAGGGTGGGAACACCGTTGGCACATGGGACAGAATTAACTTGAGGAGGAGGAGGGATATCGCGATTGAATTGGCCGGTGTGGTGTGTGGTGTATTTCTACTGGATCGTCCTTTGTTTCTTTTTTTCCTTTTTTTTCCTTTTTTTTTTCCTTCTTCCTTCCCTGCGTAGAATTTTCAATGTCAAGTTTAATTATTATTGTAATTTATTTACAGTGCAGTGCGACAGACAATTCATGATGTTTGCCGTGCTGGTCTCTGTGATACTGTGTCGGTATCATGAGTCAGAGAACTCGCCGCATTCCTCATTGCTGCACGGGCCTTTTAAGTTGTGATAGTTGCGACCTGTGCTCAGTCGTCCACGGGACAACCAACACGAGCCTCCTTGGCAATCCTCATCTACTAGTACACTAATTTACACGTTCACTGGGTAGAGCATCCCGTCGCGTCACGCGAAATCTCATGACTGCCGTCCACCGTACCGTACTTGTACCTCTCTCCCCTTACATCCACCCATCCACACTCACTCACTCCCTTCCTTCCTCACACTTTCAACCTCTTGAACTCTTACTTATCTTCACCCCTCCCCCCAATCCTCTCTTTCCACCTCTACCCATCCATCGGATAAGTAAGAAAGTAAGCAAGTAAAAAACAAATAAGCAAGAAAAATGTCCCCCGCCACAAAACGCAAAGCCCCGGACTCCGATACTCCCAAGACCACGGGGGTCAAGAAGGCCAAATCGATAAGCTCCTTCTTCACGTCCACTGCTCCGTCCGCCGGCTCGTCGTCCTCATCCTCGACGCCGAGCTCCTTCAACAAGGAGAAATGGCTGTCCAAGTTGACGGATGAGCAGCGGTCGCTGTTGGAATTGGAGATCAACACGATGCACGATTCCTGGTTGTCTGTTTTGAAGGATGAGCTCCTGACGAAGGACTTCTTGGGATTGAAGCAGTACTTGAAGGGGGAGAAGGAGCGGGGGAAGAAGGTTTATCCTCCCGAGAGGGATGTGTATTCGTGGAGTAGGCATACGCCTCTTGGGTCTGTGAAGGTTGTTATACTTGGGCAGGATCCTTATCGTATTTCTCCCCCCCTCCCCCCCCCCCCTTCTTTCCTTTTTTTCTACCTCTGTTGTTGACGAGGTGTGATACATAGATGGAGCGAATCAAGCTCATGGTCTCTCCTTCTCCGTTCGCCCTCCAACCCGTGCACCGCCCAGTTTGAAGAATATGTACATCGCGCTGAAAAAGGACTACCCGGACTTTACTCCACCCCCCGGGGGCCTCGGCCTCCTGACACCGTGGGCGGAACGTGGTGTTCTGCTGCTGAACGCGTGTCTGACCGTGCGCGCCTCGGAGCCTAATAGTCACGCGGGCAGGGGGTGGGAGAAACTCACGCAGAAGGTGATAGACGTCGTCTCCGCGAGGAGGGGGGTGGTGTTCCTCGCCTGGGGGAAGCCGGCGGAGAAGAGGGTTGCAAAGGTCGACAAGAAGAAGCATGCCGTTTTGCTCTCTGTGCATCCCAGTCCGCTTAGCGCTTCTAGAGGTTTCGTGAGTCTTGCTTCGTTATTCTTTTCCTGTCCGGTGACGGGTGATGATGGGTGGATGGGCGATGGGGAGCTGATTGGTGCTTTTCGGGGAATAGTTTGATTGCGGACATTTTAGGAAAGCGAATGAGTGGTTGGTTGAGCGGTATGGGGAGGGTGCTGACATCAATTGGAGTTTGGAACCCGTGGTGCAGACGGCTGCCGTCGTGGAGAAGAGGAAGGTGGAGGAGGTGGGAGACGAGGAGGTTGGCGATGATGAGCGCAATCGCGAGATTTCCAGAGTGAAGAAGAAGAGCCGTGCCAGGGATTCCCTGGGTGAAGTGTTTGATGAGGACGAGGAAGCCGCGATGATTGAGGCTACTCTTGCTGCTGAGGAGTCCTTGGGGTCTTGATCTCTCTCATCCGTGGCCATTAGAAATGTGCTCGCTTGGCTTCGCATTTACTCTGCTTGATTGGTTTTCTTTTTTTTTTTTTTTTTTTTTTCACTTGGTGCGGCATCTCTCAGTATTGTTATCATTAAACCTCTCCTAGGACCCGACACACGAGTATCGTAATCTTTATTCTGCTTTTTCGAAAATACACATCTCACTCAATCAAAAAACGGGGAAACAGTTAATTCCGTCGTGCACTATCATAGTACGCAAGCAAACCCTTCCTAACCCTCACATTGCCAGGTCTCACATAGGTATACCCTAGGAATGCCCCTCTCTTCCTGGCCTCTAATATCTTCTCCCCGCACTTGCTATCCCGGAGTAACATATCCCTCGCGCGAACTTGCGGGACCGCGTCGGAAGACTCGCCGCTGGTGCTCCTGCTGTTGAAGCTCTCGGTAAAGTACTTGGTATCCGCCTCGTCGAGTAGTCCGCTGGGCACGAACGGGGGTATCTGCATATGCAAAGTTCTCCAGTTCACCACGGCAAAAAAGGGATGTGCTCTAATCTCTTCCGCATCGTTTGGGTAGACGTAGTTGGGCAGGCAGTCACTTGCGTCATTGATGCGGTAGGCTATGGATCCGAGGCGGCCTTCTCTCTCGCAAATGAGGGAGCGGATGAGGGTTTCCATTTTCTTGGACAGGTGGGTAGTTGGATCGAGTACTAAGTGGTCCCTCCAATTCTGGGCTTGTCAGCATTTGGAGGTTACTTGGGGTTGATGAGACCCACCGATACTTTGATTTTAGACTCCTCTCTATTCTCAGCGTAGAATGGTGTGTATCCAAATAGGATCTGCGATCATTAGGCTTTCCCATATTATTAGAGCATATGTTCGCACCTCACAAATAATCACCCCGAGACTCCACCAGTCACATCTAGCGTCATACGCTTCTTCTCGGACGATCTCCGGGGCCTGCGCAATCTTAGGGCCAGACACCTACATTGTCGATCATTGACCTACCATGTACTGATAAGTTCCAACAATGCTCCTCGCCATTCTCCTCCGCCCATTCTTATTCCTCCAGCTAAGGACTCTCTCCCCGTGCGGTACGGTCGCAGTTGTGGCGCTCAATGCTCTCGCCAGGGCGTTGCCTGTTCTTTTATCAATTGTATCCCCAACCACACTTACTTGTGTTTTCTTGACCAATCCCCACCGCTGCTGCTCGAAATACGCACCGTCGTGTGCCCAATGCCCCGAAAAAGCTAAACCGAAATCACAGATTTTCAGATGCCCAGAGGCCGTTATACAGAAATTGTCTTCTTGGGGTTAGCGATATGGCAAGAATAAGTGGTAGCAGGGGAGCAAACCTGGTTTCACATCCCGATGGATAAAGCCAAGCTTATGCACCTCTTCAATACAGAGCACCATCTCCGCGACATAGAACCTTGCCATCTCCTCACTCAGCGTCCCCTTCTCCATTAAGAGTCCGAGAAAGTCTCCGCCTATCATATACTCCATCGCAAGGTATAGATTCTCATCATCTTGGAAACTTGCTACAAGGGGCACAATCCACCTGCTCCCTTCACCGGCAACGAGTAAATCCCTCTCGGCACGGAGATGGGCCTCCTGTCCTTGCTTGAGCTGGAGGCCTTTCTGAACAATCTTTAGGGCGAAAACACCGCCTTTCCCATTTTCCATACGGGCAAGCTTCACACAACCGAAGGAGCCTTTGCCGATTATTCTCAGGGTATCGAAGTCTCCGATATGAAGCCTGGTCCGACACCGCCGAAGGTATTCTGTTTCCTTAGCCCTCCACTCTTCCCAGCACGTGGCTGCTTCTGTCGATCCTAAACTCAATTCCTTTATCAGCCTCTCAACAGATCTTCTCCGTAGTGATCGTGGAGATTGCGAAGCTAGTATTCGGTCAAAGTAAGTCTCCAAGTAAATTTTTGCGTTGGAAGCGATCTCTATATCTTTTAAAGAGAGAAGCGGCTCCGTTGGAGAGCAGCTGACTCCGACCCTTCCTCGGGACTTGCGGACTATCATTGTTGAATTGGGGCCTGGGAGGGGGGCATATGGGAGGGCGTCTGAGTCAGAGTAACTCCACGGAGGGAGGAGCGCTGGTCGTGGGAATACTATTGGCTCTGATACGGGACTATGGGAAATGGTGGCTATATATTCAGGGCTATCGGGGCGTTTTTCTGAGAGGAGTTAGTCTTGAATGGATGGAAGGGAGGAGGCATAGAAGGGGACGTGCGTTTGAAAGCACCAAACACCCGGCGGAGCAGTTGCTTTGGGCGGGAGTCTTCTGCCTCCCAGCGGGGTTTCTCGAAGCCACCCATTATCCAGGGGGGAGGGATAGACATGGCACATATGACAGGAACTTTGGTTCGGGATTATTGGTTTGGAGATTGGAGAATCAAGGGGATGGAGTTTCTACGACTGTCCCCGGTTTATATCTAGGAGGTTTGAGGGATGGGTTGCGCGGCCCGTACGTGATGCACGCCTAGAATCGCATACACAAGTTTATGTGAAAGGGACGCCTAGGATTATGCACATTTAATAAGGGGCCATATGGAGGGTGCGACTTTTCTGAGGGGTTTTATCGATTGACATGATACGACTGGGTTTACTTTGCTATCTTTTCTTCTCGGTCTTGCATTTCTTTGTCCAGTCAGTTCAAGTAGCATACAGATCTTTAGTACTCCGGTCATTCTACCTCCATTTGCTCGTCTCTAATATGCGTGCATGCTCGGCTGCCGTGCGTAAGAGGAGCGGCCTTGGTTGGAAGTTTGCTGGAGGCTCCTGGCGTTTGAGTGGTTGAGAGACACATCTTCTGTAAGAAGGAGTGATATTCCTGAAGCTTCCAATGTACTCTATCGCAAAATTTCCGGGACTTGGCCAAAATATTGCTGGAACGGCTTATGCTTTGCACGAAGGCGTTCATGGCTATAGGCATGAGGTTGATTGGGTCTGGAAGGGCGAGGTTGTGCGCACTGATGAAGGTTGTGCTACTAGGGCCCTGGTGTGTCACCGGGTAGTTCGTTAAGAAACTGCTAGACTAAATCCGATCCTGCACTTGCTTACCCTCCCTAACTAGTGGCCTTTGTATCGACCATGCCTGCCCTGAGATTACAGAACCTTATATTCCTAGACCACTCCTCGGTATCAGAATTGGGCCCAGCCCGAAGACTGGGAGGAATTATTCTAGAAATGTGCGGGCTGACGAGAAAGAGTCATCGAGTTCTACCAAATGTGAGCTACAAGACAAGATGATTGATCCCATCAGGTGTTCGTATCCAATGGAAGCCCATCAATTTCTGAACCTGCTCAAGCCAGGTTATCCAGTATCCTTAACCTTATATTTAGATTCGAGAAGGTGAAGCAATTTAAGGGCCACCTTCCGAAAGGACGGGTGTATGAGGAGTTTTTTTAAATTTTTTTTTTTAACTGTAAGCTCTTCAATGTCATTAAGCTGGCTTGTTCTTGCTGTGATACTTGAATTCCTTGGTTTGGGTTCGGTTCCCCCCCATTAACTGTAGGAACTGTGGCGTACCCGTACCCGTACCCGTAACAAACTCGGTGGCGCTGTGTTGGTGAGGACCGGGGGGTGATACGATCCCCAGCTCCGTAAAAACTTGCAACTGCGGGATTTCGCTGCTGGTCTCCTGGCTCTCCCTGCGCAAATGTGCTCGATGTTGGGGGTATCGGTTAAAAGAAAACCTGGTATTGAAATGCGATATGCCAGCAGAGGGAAGTCGGGGACATGTTGTGACTTGAAATGAAACTTGCAGGTGTCAAATCAATTACCAACAGGGCATCCCAGAGGTTTGGTATTATGTCCTGGTATTTTTTTTGAGATCTGAATAGTATTATCACAAGCCCTACAAAGTTTGAGCGGAAAATTGAAATATGCCCTTCTCCCTGCTTACCTCATGTCGGACGTCAATGATTTCCTAAATTGTAACCTGGAAAGAAACTCCTCTAACTGACGGAAGCCCAGAAGGAAATCACCAGGATCACGGTTGACCAATTCCATGTAATCAACCACAATGAATGGGAAGACTGAGAATATTAGGGTCCCAATATCATTCCATTCTAAACCTTGAAGCCATAAGTATAAAACGCTTCCCAGGGACCTCTACCTTCTTGATTTCTTCACACACACAATCATACGGAATCGAATCAACTCACATAACATCAAACGGCATTACCTTATAATAACGACTACTTGCAGCTATACCACTTCTCTACCAATGACTTCCAGACACAGCAGAAGGACCGGTTGCTCCTCCAGTGCCCGCCGGGGGGGAGGGGACCGTGACTGGGATGATACCTACGGTGGGCGTTACCCACCGGGTGGCTATGACCCGGAAACTGACTGTGTTCACTGGGACTATTGTGATGATACCCTGACAAGTTCCGATGATGATGATACTTTGTATTCGGACTCTGAGAACAATACACAATCTACCGGTGGGGCGCCAAGGAGTAGGGGAAGGGTCGTTACCTCTATAGGTTCCTTGCGACGCACCCACGGGCGCCGTGAGGGCTCTGGAGGTGAGGGAGATGGGTATGAAGCTGGAGATGAGCGCCGTCCTATGGGGCAGTCCTCTAGCCGTCGTCAATCGTTCTATGACTCTGATGACTACCACTTGCCTCTCCACCTCTCCCATAGCTCAAGCCGCCCTTCCTCTTCTTCCGGGCTAAATCCGGGAGGTCCCCGCGGGCGCCCCTCTTACGATTCACAAGGTTATCCGATCATTCGCTACACTCACTATTCTGACCACCCATTTTTTGGGGGACATTATCAGGGCCCCCGACAACAGCCTGACCCCAATGACCCACCTCATGGCAGAAACTCAAACCGCGCCCGTTCTTCCTCGAGAGCACGCTCTAGGGTTAGCTTTGCACCTCGCGATGAAGTTTTTGAATACAACCAGGATCGCTCACGCCCAGGTGGTGGTCCCGAGCTAGCCTCACGCTCTTCTCGCCATCACTCCCGCACTAGCCACTCGCGATACTATGGGCGTGACGAACTTGATGAGGATTCACCACCACCACCCCCCTATAGTCGCCAGCTTAGTTCTGGAGGCCCGCCCGGTGGCAATGGAGCTCGCAGTGCAGGTGGTTGGCCCGAGGAAGAGGAAGAGGAGGAGGATGATGTCTCGGCTGACGATGAAGATGATGAGGATGGATATGTGCGGGGACTTGATTAAGCATGGAGTCTAGACTGGGTCGAAGGGAGGGGACAAGGCGTGGGTGGCATACAACGGGCAGTTTGTGAAGGAAGGGGGGTGGGGGGGCCGATGTGGAAATTATCAGTTATATTTTGTTTTCAAGCGATAGCTATCTTTCCTGGACAATTCCAGGTATATGTTTTCTTTCCTTTTTTCTGATCTGAATTGATTAAATTTTTATTGTGAATCAGATACTTTTCACTATGATTCTGGGTCTTTGATGCCTTTCGGCGTGAACATGTTGACACTGAATGTCCCGGAGGCACGCAATGCACCATGATACAGTACCGAAAAATCATTACCCAGACATTGATGAACAGTGGTAATCGGGTAGGATAATAATATAGAGCAGTAAACAACACCTGCTAACAAGGTTCGCGAATCTAAACTCGTGACCTTATTAACCATTTCCCCCCTGATCCTGTACGAACCTACACCTATCAGATTCCGGGATACCAGGCTGAATAACCTTATGATACATGTGGGAAACACCCTCGACATTTGGGGGGGGGGGCGAATTTTTTTTTTCCTCACCAATTAGGGGGGCAATGGGTGATGCGGTGCTGAACTCTCATCGGCTGAGAGTAACAATGTACTCACTACTCCTACCCAATTTTATCCTCCTCCTCCTTCGGGCCTTCCTCCCGCCGTGCACTGGGTTTAGCTACCCCTTTTCAATAGTCCAACTTCACAAGAAATCACTCTCGATAACATGAGAACCCGGGAGGAAGGAATTTGACAAAACCTCGGAGAGGAGGAAAAACATATGAGAGCCTCTGATAATGAAAGGATAGTAATACTATAGTTGAATATGGCATGGTTGTGCGGTTGTGAAACAAACGGAGAGGAGATGAAGAAAAAACTCAAACAGTAACTAATGTTGAAGCGAGTGGTGAGGAAAGTACTAGGAGAAACTAAACGAAAGGAAGCTAGTCTGTTTGGCGGATAAGCACTAGATCCAACAACCTGGGCCCCTACCAGCACGCCACCTGCCATACCCAGGATTGGAAGAAAACCACCAGTAGCCGACTCCGGGGCTACCAATGATCGAACAATACTCTCTTACCTTATCGTATACCACTAATACATACAGTAGATTACACCTGCAAGGAATGACACCACGGAATCCCGTCTCACACTAGAATTGGTGCAGAGTGATCCTGTCTTTTAGCACAGGAGCCCGGTCGTGGAAAGCCCTCAATAATCGAGCTTAGGTATGATAGGTGGATTTTAGGTAGTCAACCATCAGGGATGATTGAAGATAGTGTGTGGGAGGGTGTTGTCAAGGAGGGAGTTATGTTGGGCTCACTGTATTCCCATAGGCAATAGGGGTGTTCATGGATTTGGAAACTAAATTGGTCTTTTTTTTCCTCTTCTGAACAGCATATGTGGGCATTTTCCTCCTCTTGGGTTACATCTCCATTGGGGTCATGGTCTTCCTCGTACAGGGGGCGGCCAGGGGGCCCGGAAAGTGTGTAGTATGATATCACAAGTTACTGTGTAGCATAGTATTGCATTATATAATACTACGCGCTGGGTAAGGATACTTACTGTTCGATGTTGGAGGTCACACAGAAAAGGTTAGAGTGGAAGTGCAAAGTGATGGGACCGATCAAAAATGAGAGAAAGAGAAAGGTAGTTGTTGTGCTTGTTGTTCTACAGATACGCCTCAGACTGCCATACTTATAGCAATTGGTAGCATGAATATACATCAATATGGCTCCAGTCATTTCCTAGTTCTGCAAGTGCCAAGTGGCCCAACAGCCGGCACAACATATCCGTACCACTCATCATATTGTGGTAACATTTCCGACATTCGAACCCGAGTAAGCTACGAGTGAGAAGATATGATTCTGGCCTTGTGGGGAACCTAAATAGAGCTCACTTCTAGCATGATAGCTCAGGTGCTTGTGGACTAAAGGTTCAAATGAATGGGAGCTATAAGTGTGATACTATAGGACCAGGCTACTCCTGTGCGTCTAACCCCAGCTATTACAAAATTGGCTGAGAGTGTGTGTGTTCGGGAGGACTACCTATAAGTGATTCAGTGCGTTTTTGGTACCTTCACAGTCTAGTCGTTAAACATTTTTTTCGGAACAGTAAGATAAAATTTAGCTTGGTGCATCATGGTATCGTTATTTAAAATCTGAATAACAGTCAGCCAACTCTGGCGCCACATCCTTCCCGCAACTAGAATTCGTGGGTTTGATTGGTTGCACGGACACCTCGACCCAGATATCAGAATCAGCGGCTCAACATAACCCATCCCGATTATCTCTGCGCCGACTTTACAAAAACCTAGGACCCGTCGTGAATATTGACACCAGTTGAGGGGTCCAGGAATGATTAAGTTTTTGGTTTTATGCAGGGCGACCCATGAGAACGGGGAAGTGGTTGATAGAATAGAGGTAAAATATATGAAGTGGAATGGAGAGATGTAGAAGTGAAGCATATAAGAGGATACGGAATAAAATGAGTGTGGGAGCGAGAGAATTGCAGAGGTTTGTTTTCTTGGAGAGTGGTTATGAAGCTCGATGATTTGGTTAAGAAAGGAGAGGAAGGAAGCAAGGAAAGCAGAGAGAGGAAAATTTAAGGAACAAACTAGCAACACTAGACCGCCTTGATACCTAAACATCCACTTATGCCTACACATGTCCATAGCTTTAGTGCATGATCATCTGCACATATTCGACACGAACTGTGGGTTCACGGTAAGGCACTATCAGTGTTTCCAACCGTCCAGTCCGTCCGGCTTTGGGCTAGGACGGGACGGACTATAGCTGGTAGTTCGTTCTTTTGGGAGTGCTAGGACGGACTACTCTCGGGACCGGTAGGACTGGACGGACTACCGGGGACTGCGGTCCTGCTGCATAAAATTCTAGGGACAAAATGATAGTCCTCGGCAGTCCCCTGTAGTCTTGGTAGTGCCCCGACGTCCCTGGTGATCCCCTGCCATCCCCCTTGCCAACCTTGTTTCACCCCATAGGGCCTGCCGTCCCACCCAAAGATGGCCGTCCTCTACTTTCACCGCCCGCGACGGAATGTACATGGCAGTCCCCCCACTGGGCCCCGCCGGGCCCCTGGACAGTTGGGAACACTGTTTGGTTCTCTCTTGAAGCTTATTCTGTCCTATATTTTACATTTTGCGAACATGGTTGATATTTTATGGTGCCATTATTATCTCCAGAACCTAGTTTCCAACTATATTATCTCATCTTTATCTTATATGTTAGTCAGAAAATAAAACAAGAAACTGAGATATTAATGAGGATAGAGTGGGGGACTGTGGGGCATGGTGTCCACCACAAGCAATCACCGGGAAAATTGCCTAGAGGACAGGACGGGGTGGCAAGATGTCGTCTATCCTCGCCTAGTCTTAAGACGGACGGACGGCCCCAGTGAGAACAGATAGAGCGTTTAGAGAAAGTCAATATTGTGAAAGCATAATAGTAAACCAATTTCGGGTTCATAAGGAGTGTAAATATGTGGACAAACATTAGAGACTTTGCGATTTTGCGTCCAGAGCCAAATCCTGGCGATCTTGGCTCGAAACCCCGTTTGGCCCACATCCAGAGTCTTTTCACAAAGTCCCCAATGGCTCAAGAACAAACGCCAACACATACCTGTACATAAACTGTGAAGGCACCAACCGAGGAATGAGCCTCCAAACACAGTGTCAAATCTCTGAACGCACTGCTGGACCTCCGAGCATATTGTCGAACCTCTACTAGTAAGTATATCGCCAAATTTTGAAGCATATTACCGGACCGCTAGGCTGACCGCTGAACCTCCAGGCTTATGGCTAAACCTCCAAGTGCATTGCCGAACCTTGTAGCATACCACTAAACCTTGAAGCCTACCACTAAATCTTAGGTTCAAACGCACCATTCAAGAAACCTGAAAATGGACAAGCAGGACAATGGAAATGATAGTGGTATGGGCGAGATCGAATTTGAGGGAAGGAGCTGGCAGATAGGTGAATGACAGGCTGCTGATATAATTAAAACCAAGATATTGCCAACCATGAGGAAGTACCTGATGCAAGTCCAGAGAGAGAACTTCATCAACCATACAACCCGAGATTTTCTCCCATACTACAGCTACAACCATGTCAGCATCTCCAACCATGGCATAATCGAGTCCTGCACTTACCACCACTGTTTTCTGGGCATTATGATCTAATCCATAATCCTAATTCAAAGCCGCTTCATCCACTCAACTTTTTTATGCTATTCTTTGATAGTAAAACCTTTGAAACTCTTCAAGTTGTCTATGATACCAACTTGTATATAAGAGAAAAGGGAGTAGGAAATACAGGTCATAGGAGGTGGTACCCAATAAAGGAAGTAGAGGTGATTACCTTTATCAGTCTTATTATTTATATGGAAATCTGTCATTCTAGTTCTATGTTAGACTATTGGAGGTAGCATAAACTTGCTTTACTTTACAAGTATATTTTCCTACCTGTTTTCACCTCCGCCTGTATATTAATATTTCTTTATTGTTGCTAGTATATTAGTAGCTAAAATATACAGAATTTTAAACCATATGTTCTAGCTCTGCTTTGAGCAACTAAAAGTGACATTTTCACATTTCTCTGCCTCTTTCAAACCTACTATGATATCAATAGTTTAACAAGCCAGAACTACTACTATCATCTAACCTCCAGAACTACTACCAGCAATATTGCATACCTGCTAAGGTAGCAATTGACAAGATGATGATAAGATTTATAGACAATTTAGTACATACTGTATAAATACCTAATAAACCTATTCCAGAGTAGTTTAAGGTCCTAGCTTTATATGAGCATAGATATAGATATTCCTTTATATATACTTCACTAGTTGATCAGTTTTCTATACTTCAACACAATTTACCAAATTTAGAAGATGAATATTATCTTCATCTTAGTTTTACCTCTCAGGCTATATTTTTTCTAGCAATACAGCTTTCCAACCAGCAATACTATTTTCTTCTTTTTTGCAACAATTACTTCTCTGATATTCCTCTCTTTCAAGCTCTTCAAAATCACTGAATAGCAGCCTGTAGAACTGTTAGATTCAACTCTACAGAGCATTCTAGAATGTTAAAGTTAAATAAGTAGAGGACAATTTCATCTTAGAGAACAGAAAGTCAGGAAGTTTTTGCTATTGTCTAGTAAGATAAAATATTAGTTAGATTATTAATCATAGCACATAATATGCAACTGGATCTCTAAAATTATACTACTTGTACATGCCACTATCTCTGCCATTCTAGAAACCACAATGTATTTAGGAATATAATTGGCCAGGTTTGGGGCAAATTACCACTATGAGGGTTAGCACTACCTATAGTAATAGTATACTATAACATGTATATAAGAGAGGTTGATATCATCAACCAGCAGTATAGTTATTACTCTATACAAGTCTGAGTTGTCAGAAATTGGATGCCATTATTTTTCTAGCTTTTTAACACTACTGTTATTAATTCATTTCTTATTATATAGCAATACATAAGAGAACAATGAACCTAAACCTCCTGTTAGCAGACACAACTATATTTTTAAGAATGTCTGGTATGGGACCTTATGGAAGAAGGTTTCTATTAACTTAACCCTATTTGTATTCAAGAACTACAACTACTTTCTTCTTCTAATATCCCTCATCCTAATAGTCATAACTGTCCTGGTATTACTCCAAGGTAAAGCAATTCCTAAAACCATGAAAAAGGATATATTACAAAATTCTCCTCCTTGCCTTCTATGCAAAAGGATCCTGTTACTTACAAGCTCATACAAAACCTAACACAGAAAGGCCACAGCCACAAGACTGTCTTTTGTGCTGCTTTCACTCTAAGACCCCTACTCAAACTCAATCCTCGAACCCGAACAGCCTGTCCTCTACTCAATCTTCCTTCACTCAACCTCTACCTACTCATCTTACTAGTACTTGAGGGCCTGCCAGACCTGTACCGGGACTCAGAAGAAGAACTCTTTTTATATGTAGCTATTGTGAGATTCCTGGATTTCAAGTGCTAGTACTACTCTGTAAAAACAATTGTCCCAAGCTTTTTCATATAATAGATTGAAACACAATGCTTATAGGACCTGAATAAGTGGACTTTTGTTTGGTTGTTGAGGGTATTTTCCTTTTATACTTGTTTTCAGAAGCAGATTGTTGCTGTATTTTTCACAGGAGGATATTTTGCACCACCTAGCACAGTCACACTCCAGTATCCGGATCTCGATAATCTGGATGCCTCGCTGCCCCATATGAATCTCTTTGAGAGGTGAATTTCTTTCCATCAGAGCCTCCTCACCTGATGTCTTGGACCCCTCACTGTTCCAGACAGATTCTTTGGATTTTGGCCATCCAGGATAGCGATGGCCATCCGTGATAGTGGGGTCCAACTGTATATGGGACATGGGTGTTCTTTTTCAATTTTTTGTTCGTTGCATTCTTCACTTATGTTTTCAGTGTTTAAATCTACAGATCCAACTTTTCTCGTTCTGTATTAGCCATCGCCGATCCTCCTCTTAGTTCAACGGTAAAAGTGAGTTGAAATTCGGGACAGACAAAGGGATGCTTGCTTGCTCGCGACTACGAGCACGGTACGTATTCTAGATGATAGCCCAGCCTCCCCTTCTTGCCAACGGTGTTCATTACCGTTTTCTACAAGTCACCTACAGGTAAGCCCCAAATGACGGCTGCCCCATCTAAGACTCTGCGAGTAGATAGGTATCATAGAGGTACTGGCCTGCCGTATAATCAGCTAGACATGGCCATACACAATTACCGTAGAGTAGCATCGCGGTATTATAAACAACCGCTACCGAAAAAAGTCCACAGAAACCTTTCCATTGCAGCTTGCAGTAGGAGGGAATGGGTGATAGGCGGTAGACTCCTTGTTGTCCAGCATTAGCCATGTGCTTACTCCACATACCTCTTTGACAACTCATCTTCCTCTTCAAAATCTATGCCCCGCATTCAGCTATCCCCAGCCGCCCCCAATTTACAAAAGATCACTCTCTCCCTATCCCCTACTACCTGCCATGTCCGAGCCGCGGGAGACCCCCGTGCCCGACCGTCCAGGAGATATCGAGTGACATTCTGTGCACGCAGGGAGTCGACAGTCACCAGCATGTCTGTGTCATATCCGATAGCCAAATTAGTAGTGGCATGCCCCTAACCCCAACATCAGGGGACAAGCCCGGCTGCTTGCATCGGTCTATAAACTGATATCATACCATCCCATATGCCGGATAGGTTAGTATCATACAGGGGGTGCCCCGTCCTGTACGGAATCGGCCCGGTTTTTGCGGGGAGGAGATATTTCACGGGTGTGTAGTTGGGGGTGTGGCCGTGGTGACTTGACCAACAAGGTACAGTACTTGTATCATATGATACGGATCATATCGCTGCAGTATTCAGTGGTGTCTGGGGGTGTTACGGTGCATTGCCCCCCCAAACCAACGACAAAAGCTACAGTACCGGCTGCCCACCATGTGCCCTTGAAGGCCACTATTCACGGCACAGTATACGATGGCATAGTACCACAGAAACTCATCTCATAATCGTAAACTTTTACAGGTATCTTGCCGCCTACCGAAAATGACTCTCCCGCTCCCCCGTCTCACATCCGCCTAAATAATAATCATACAATCGAAACAGAAAGAGAGTAAGAGAAAATGGTATAGATGGATAAAGGAAGGTTGCGGGGGGGATTCCGTTTCTCACATTCCTTTTATAAAACGACAGACGCCCAAACTTTACACCATCTTTACAGACCCCGAAAGAAAGAGGAAAAAACCCAAATATCCATCAGAGCTTTATGGAAGAGAAAAGGGAAGAAAATCCCCTGGGAAGAAACTAGTAGGCAGAGTATTCTTGCGATGGCTTATTATAATTCTGTTTTTGCCCAATCAGGATACTTCCAGGCGGGTCAGGCGCGGCGTCCATGGGGGCGGATAACACACCTATTCTAAAACCAATCAGACATTCCCACTATACCCGCCAGTAAACTCCCTCCTTCTCTGCATCCACTTCCTCCCCTCCTCGACCCAAAACACCGAACTAGCGATGGCTAATAAAATCCCCAAATCCTTAAACGACAAAGTTTCTGTCTGGAATATATTCTGTAGGCCGGGAACGTAAATAACGGCTAGCTGTCCGACAAGACATCCGACAACGGCGTAATTGAACATTTTATTTCCGAAAATCTTGATTTCGCCCCTCAATATAGATTTCGATTCGGAGCGACAGGACAACGCGAGTGCCATGTCGAACAGAACAAAACAGGTGAAGGTCATGGTGGTATCGCGGGCCGTGACAACACCATCATGCATTTCCAGGACGTAAACAAGTATTGTGCCGAGTAGAATAGTTAGCGCAGAGGTGGAGATTCGCAAGAGGACGGGTCTGGTTAATATTTGCTCGCTGCGTGAACGCGGCGGCCGCGTCATCACGGCGGGGTCTACCGGTTCTACTCCTAGGGATTGTGCAGGGGGGCCATCCATCAGAATGTCTGCTCAGAAGAGAGGGACGGCGGTCAGTAATAGGTACAATGCAGGAGCGTATGTCATGTATAGAGAACGTGAGCCCTACTTATCCATAAAATTTGCATGGGGTTTAATGGGTTGGGTAAGTCAGCAAATGTACATAAAAGAACCAAGCTCAAGGCAGCGATGCTGGTGCTGAGTTGAAAGGTTAAGAAATTTTGAATGTTGTAAAAGATTCCTTTGCCTTCTTCAATGGCAGCGAGAATGGTGGAAAAGTCGTCGTTGCTTAGAATCATATCGGCCGCCTCTTTAGCCACATCAGTTCCATGCAATCCCATGCTGATGCCGATATCTGCCATTTTAAGCGCAGGGGCATCGTTAACCCCGTCACCAGTCATGGCTACGACTTCTCCCCGCGACTGGAGCGCGCGAACGATTTTCACCTTGTGTTCCGGCGAAGTGCGGGCAAAGATCGTCGTAGTGGCAATTGCCTGTGCAAGCTGAGCGTCTGTCATAGCATCTAGGTCCTCACCTTTCAAAACGGGCCGCACGATACCGCCGTGCCCATGGCTGTCGGGAAGGATCGGCATTCCAAGCTTCCTTGCGATCGCAACCGCAGTTGTCTCGGAATCACCAGTAATCATCATTACTTTCACCCCGCCACGCATCAATCGTCTGATTGCAGACTTGACTCCCCTTCGAGGAGGATCAGACATGCCGACAGCTCCAACAAACGTGAGGCCCTTAAAAGTGGGATCGTCGTTTCCACCGACACACCCAAGATTCCCCGAGATCGGGGAGCCCTGAGCAAATCCCAGCACTCGTAACCCTTCCGATGCCATTTTCTCAGCAGCCGCCAGTGCGCTCTTCCGCTGTTTTTCGTCTAAAACAACCTCTCTTCCCTCCTTCGTCAGGTAGGCATCACATCTTGGAAGAACCTGCTCAACAGCACCCTTCATATATGGCCTGCGCTCATCATCCTCATCGCGAACGACGGCACCCATCCATTTCCTTTCGGAAGAAAATGGAACGTCTGTTATTCTTTCGGTACGTTGCCTCGCATCGGAATTCCCGAAAGCATCCATTAAATCTAACAGAGCAACATCGGTAGCCTGTCCAACGAACCGAGAATTAGCACTGGTGTTTGTAATACCGATCGCCGCAGCCGCCGCCGTTGAAGCACTTGTTGAGGATAGCCGAGCATTGTTACATAAATTGCCAATTCGGATAACAGAGTCTGTGGCAGTATCCCTGGTGACGGGGGGCTCAAGGAGACCAGCTTTTTCAACTGGTAATGGAAGATCTGGGGTCCACAATTGGGTGACAGTCATGTGGTTCGTTGTTAGGGTGCCTATCTCCTTGTCAGAGGACCATTGCAATCATCGAATGCATAGGTGTAATACCGGTTTTATCGCTGCAAATAACGGAAACGCATCCTAAGGTCTCTACACTCGGCAATCTTCGTACAATCCCCCCGCGCCGTACCATCCGCAGCACTCCCAAAGCTAACGTTACTGTTACGATGATTGGCAAGCCCTCCGGTATGGCCGCAACTGCCAAAGAAACTCCCACTTGGAACATGTCAAGCCAGCCGCGCCCTTTCCATAATCCCAGAAGCACGATGACTCCTATAACGCCGAAACTGGCATAACTCAGATCCTTTCCGAGTTTATCCATCGAACTTTGCAGAGGAGTTTTAGGTTTGCTTATTCCAGCAAGCATAGCTGTAATCGTACCGAACTCAGTTTTGGAACCAGTAGCAATTACTATTCCTTGACCGTTGCCGCTGCGTACTAGCGTTCCCATGAATGCAATGCATGTCCTTTCGGACACGGCAATGTCCGACAGAGTAGGATTAAGCGCATCCCGTGGGGCAACGGCTCCCACCGTTTTCTTCACGGGCTCATTCTCGCCGGTCAAGTTGGACTCATCAATTTCCAAACCGGATGCCTGGGTGATGCGGATATCCGCTGGAACTCGATCCCCGGTTGAGAATATCACGAGATCACCCGGCACCAATTGTCCAGCCATAACGGTAGAGGAAGCGGGCGATCCGGATTCTCCGTCCGCGGGCCTACCCCGGACCAGATGCGCGAAGTGGGGAACAAGTTTGTTCAAGGCCTCCAAGCTTTTTTCCGATCGGTACTCCTGGACAAAGCCCACAGCAACGACAATGACAACAGCCAGAGTGATGCTGATAGCGTCCTCCATATTTCCCATCATGAAAGAAACCGCCGCACTCCCGAGGAGTAGAAGGATGAGGGGCGATTCGACGAACTGCTTGAAGAATCGCACATATAATGACTCGTCATCTCCATGGGGCAGCTCGTTGGTTCCGTGAATCGATCGACGGTATATAGCATCCTGAGATGAGGTAAGGCCATGTTTCAGGGAAGTTTGGAGCTTCAGAGCTGTCTCTTCGGGAGTGAGGAGTGCGTAGACGGCGGAGGGGGGCTAAAGGAGGAGCCATATCAATAGGTGAGCGGTAAAATGGGGCGTTAGAGGAAGCAGCTGAAATCTGAGCTTACGGATGCCAGTGATACACTGCTCCCGTTGGCAGAAGTGTGAAAGGGCGAGGCAGTGAGGCTGCGGAGTGGGACTCCGAGTGGGGTGTTTGCTCTAGATGAACCCATTTGCCTCTGAAGGCAACAAGGGTAGAACTTCCGCAGTGAGATGACCGAATTCGGCGGGGCTGCGGAGGCTACAGCATCAATCAAGGCGAGGATAGCGAAGGGGATCTCCGTTAGAATGGGGGGGGGGAAGCGGAAGAGGCTCGACTAGAGTGAAGGCGGGTAGGAAAGGAGGAGCGATAGATGGAAAGGTATTGAAAAAGGTAAGGAGGCTGAAGGAAGGAGGAGGGAAGGGGAGGAAAGGAAAGGGAAGGAGCAGCACTGTACTGTACTGTACCGGTATTGTACTACAAGCACAAGCACTGCATGGTCGGCGGCTGACGGGAGGGCCGGTGTTGCAGGCAATGGGTAACAGGCAGCAGCGTTGAGGGTGGTGAAAGGAGGAAAACGAAGGCAAGGTTATAAGGGTGGCACTACAGTATAACGCCATGCTGTTTCAAGAAAAGGGCACGGTATTTTTCCTGGCTGCCAGGACTTCGCATTCCTGTCCTGCTGCACCGGTGCAAGCACTGGTATCGGTATTCGAGCACTTGCATGATAGAGGTACTCGTACTGGCGCTGTACGGATGTATGGTAACCTTGTGACGGCTCGATGTGGGAACTGTGGGAAATACGGTGTATTAACCTGATACTTGTACAAGTACCGGCATTCAGGATAAACGGGAATTTCAACCCTTACTGAAGGCTCCACTGATCCTTTGAGGATGTAGGAAAGCGAACCGTATGGGCCGACCGCCGGTGCCGGTATTGATACTTGTAACAAAGGATAGAATACCGCGAGAAAGAGACACGGGAGCTGTGCCAGGAGGGGGACACAGGGCCTGGTTAAAGATGTCCCTATGGATTCGACTCCGTTCTTTCAGCCACAGCTTTCTCCCTGGCCTGCGGGCTCGAGGAGTTGCGCGTCCTGCTGCCGGTCGTCCCGTGACTCCCGTACGGTAGTGTTGCCCCTTCAGGTCAAGCGCCTGGCGCCCTGGAGGCTTACAGTGGGAACAGGGGGCTCTCACCAGTTCTCGCTCCACTTGCCAAGAGCTGATTGTGTCCCATCTTATCCTCTAGTCTTCAAAACCTTATCTAATCAATCAATCAAGATCGAATTTCGTTCGCTGGTGAGAGTTATCAGATGCGAGCACCTGCCTCCCGATACAGCTACCGTACTGTACTAGTACTGGTACAAGCATTTCGCAGTCCGCATCGCCCATTCTTCCACTCCTCCACTGCATCCGTCATTACAGAAAACTAGAACCGTCGCCCTCCACCACCACTCCTCCGTTCATGCTATACCAAGCTCCTTCCTCCAATCCTGTCATAACTTTGTTAATATCGCCCCCTTTTTTCCCTTCCATCCTCAGTACTCATTCGGCGTGCTCGAGTTAACCGCCGCTGCCTCTGGATTTGGTTCATCGTCGCTCTTTTCCCACTCATCCCTTCCGCCTTCTTTCCCGTCTTCCTGCGGCGGTAGGTTCTGGTGTCGTGTCATCGGGTGCCCTATCCTCGTTTCCCGCAATAAGGGGAAAGCGCGGACAATAATAGAGCGGGTAGCCGCCCCACTGCCTACTTCGACCAATTCGTCACCTCTCCCAGCCCCCCCCTAATAACAAACGCGCCCGCCCCGACCCTCGCGTTTGTCAACGTAGGCTTCACGTCCCCCTCGCGTTGCAATCCGCGAAAATTTCCCCCTTCCTCTCTTCCTCCTCACCGTCACCATGTTTTATTCAGAAACTTTATTGTCCAAGACAGGGCCTCTGGCTCGCGTCTGGCTAAGTGCTAATCTTGAGCGCAAGCTCTCGAAAACACACATTTTACAATCTAATATCGAATCGTCGGTCGGTGCTATTGTTGGTCAGGATCAGGCTCCTATGGCCTTGCGTTTGAGCGGCCAGCTACTCCTGGGCGTTGTCCGAATCTACTCCCGCAAAGCTAGGTACTTGCTCGAAGATTGTAATGAGGCATTGATGAAGATAAAAATGGTAGGCCCCTCTACTATTTAACTCTATGCCCCCACTGCACAGGTCGCCTTCCTGTCATCTTTGTCCATCTCTAACGCGTCTCTTTCTAGGCCTTTCGCCCAGGCAATGTTGATTTGCCTGCCGGCGCCACTGCACCTACGGCGGCTCAACTCACGCTCCCCGATGTGATCACGGAACTTGATTTGTTGCTGCCCGACCCAACGCTGGATTTGGGTGATATCGGCGAATTGCCCTTCGATTCCGAAGCGTATATATCCCGAAGACAGCCCATAACCCTTGCAGAGGACAGTAGCCAATTCCTGCAGGAGTCTATCGAAATGGAAGTGGGACGTAGGAGCCCCGAGGCGAAGGATGTCGGTTTCGGTCTTCAACTTGATGATCTGGATCTTGATGTCGGCGAAGAGGCGGAGACCCCAAGACCGCCACGGGCAGCTACTGTTGAAGGCGTTGTGCCTGGTATCCTGGAAGTCACCCCCGAAGTTGGGAGAAGAGAACTCCCAGCGAGGGATTTTAGAGATGACCTGTTGTCAGAGCCCATGGAAGTGGAATATGAGGCACAGGCAAAGAGGGAAGAAGCCGAGATAGGGCTCGCGCCCCCGGAGGAAGACTTGGGTCTAGTGTTTGGAGAAGAGGCCGAGATGGGGTTCCCAGGCGAAATTGGTCTGGGCGAAGGTGATTTGACAATTCTCGAGGCTCCGAGTGAGGTTGGCAGAGCCTCTCCTATAGCCCCCCTTCAGATTGAGCCACCAGAATCTGTCCACGAAGCGCCATCGATCCATGACATTCCGCCTTTCGCACGTGACTCCGAATCCCCACTTTCCTCAGCTCGTAGCAGTGTTGTGCGCGACCTCGAGGCGGACCTTCAACAGCAAGGCAGATTTGTGGATGTGAGCTATATTGTCGAGGCTCTTCGAGAGCCGAGTGAGGAGCCAGAGGAGATACTCGCACACCGACGCCAGGTGCGTGGGAGAAGAGTAATGGTTGACTCTGTGACGGAAATCCGTGCGAAGCAGATTAAGGCTCAGCAGGAGGATCGCAGCAAGATTTTGATTGAGCCTAACTTCCTGCCCAGAGATCCCGGGCTTTTGGCTCTTTTGAGTTTGCAGAAGACTAGGGGCTTCGTGCAGAATGTATTTTACCCCAAGAACATTGCGCCTGAATTAGCCAGCTTCTTGAGCCCTGAATTCGTGCGAAGGATGGCCGAACTGAAAAGAAAGAGGGAAGGTGAGGAAGCCGAGGGCGAAGAAGCTGTGGAGCGTGCCGAGCGCCCTAGCCCTGTGAAGCACCCTAGATTAGAAATAGAGGAAGAGGAAATCTTGCCCCCTCATGAAGTGGAGGAACGCGCCAGCCCGGAAGAGGCTGAAGAGATGTTTGAATTTCCCTTACCCGAACCAGCTCCACCAATGGCTATGGAAGAGGAAAGTTTTGTTGGACTACCAGGTATGTATACTTTGCTTCCCCTATATCCAGTACCCAAGCCATGTTTCAGTGTGGCTGAAAATTCCGCCTGCAGCGCCTTCCCCCCCAGCCGCCCTACCTCCTCTCGAGGAGGCCTCTCCCGAACCTGAATTCGAGCTACCGCCGGCTGTCCAACCCCTCTCTCTGCAAACGCGAGCCGCCGTCCACCTCCTGAGAGAACAATTCTCTGAGCCCTCAGCAAAGAAACAGGTCGTCTTCCAAGACCTCCTCCCCCACGAGTCCACAACGGCGACTGATGCCACAAAGATGTTCTTTGAGGTGCTGGTCCTGGCCACCAAGGACGCCATTGGTGTCAAGCAAGAGGTTGGGTTCGGCGAGATTGAGATCTCACCGAAAAAGGCACTGTGGGGTGCTTGGGCGGAGGAGAAGGACGAGCAACAGATCCAGGAAGAGAAGGAGCAACAGCAAGAAGAGGAGAATGCGAAAGAGGAAGGTGAGGGCCAACGCCGTGGCAGGGAGATGGTCATTGGAGTTGGCAGGACTGCGGTTGAAGGGACTGCGGCTGCCTGAGTTTTTCCATAAATAATGGGGATAGGGGTTTGTCAGGGAAAAGGGAGTTTGAGGTGTTCTTTTTTATTACTTTTTCTTCTTCCTTTCGTTTCACTCCTTTTACTTACCTTTACCTTACCCTTCGTACCATCTCGTGCCTGCGAACCTGGACGGTAATGATTTTTCTTGTGTTGGGCGGTGGAATAAGGGATATTGACTTTTTGAAATTTTGTGAAAAAGGGTTGGTTGCGGCGAGTAGTGGTGGAATAGGATAGACAAAGATACCATGATCGCGTTCGTGCTTGGGGAAAAAAGAGAAGAGAGAAAAAAGAGAGCGAAATCATATTCTTGAATATCTCTTTCCTTGTCATACCGGATTGGATCGGAGGCTAACTTGTTATTTTGTTTTCCCTTTTTCATGATCAATCTCTCTCTCTCTCTCTCTCTACCTCTCTCGCTACCTTCCTTCCCTGTGCGCGCCCGGTTGTGTGCACTGAATGGGTTGTGTATATTACGGCAAAGCAGAGCGAAACAAAAGGCCAAAAGAAACGGAGGAGGTTTGACAATTCCTATTAACTTATCGTCTTGTCCTTTTTTTCTTTTCCTTCTCACTTTGGTCCCCCGGGTTCTTTTTTCTCTTGCATTTTTCTTCTCGAACCGTGTATGTCTGGAATTTTCGCCCTGTTTTTAGGTTATGTACTGTATGTAGGTTCCTGGTATGTACCGTAAGTTGAAAATTGTGTCTGGGTTTTTATGTTGTACGGTAGTGAGCGGGTTTGGTATAATAGGAATTGGCTCTCAATATACCGAGTGGGCAAATTAACCACGGCAGATTTACGGTACTGCACCGTACGAGTGCCTTCCCGCTTCCGTGCACGGGCTCTGCATTCGCCTTCCTTCGCCTTGTCGGCCATCGCAGGCGAAGCCTTCCACAATTGCAGGCCGGGTAACAGCCTTGCCCACCCTCCCATAAATTTCATGTGGCGCTGTGCACTCGAGTACTCGAGTACTCGTGCTTCTCAGCCAAGATTTGGCATGCCAATTTCCCTAGTGGTTGGCACAAATTCTTCTCTACTGAAGGGGCATAGCCTACCAGTAATGTGAAGTGAGTATGGGAATCTAACTCTTCAGAGCATAACAGCACATGCTGTGATCTGGATACCTGTGAACTTCAGTGAATTTGTGGCAACTCCATTCACCAACTATTCCCTCCAAGGGTTGGGCCTCTGCGCTTGTTCCACACTACTAAGAAACTATTCCCCTTTGGTGGAAAAGAGCTGGTGTCCCGAGCTAGGACAGATGAGGTGCCAAATCTTGGCTGAGAATCACGAGTACTCGTACATGTAACTTACTGTACTCGAGTAGTCTACTCGTGTTTGTAACTTGTAACTAAGCTTTTGCCTCAGCCTACAAGGCCGGCCAGGCAACTTTTTACCGCTCCACTACTCGAGTGCTGGTGGATGGAGTATTGTGGTCACGTGTTTAGCCACGGGGAAAGTACCGGTGCAGCATCTTTCTCATCGCTATTGTTGGAGTTCACTGTGGTATCCGCCGTATAATAAATCAGATGGTGGCCGTTGTTTGTGTTGAGGCGGAAGTATCGTGCAGAGGGGTGGGGAGGGAGGGAGAAATTAAGTGAGTGGTCCGTTCTCTTATGGAGGGGAGGAGGCAGGAGGGGTAAAATTCTATCCACTTCTTTGAAATTCTCGAATTATACTTGAACTTCCTCCCTATTCTTCTCCCTCATCTCTCCTCCCGTTCATCCACTCCCCTTTCTCCATCACAATACTGCTATCCTCCATCCGAGTGTGCGGGCTGCGGGTCTTGGGCTACACAGTCCGAAGGGTTGTTCATCGCCTTTAGTGAGGCTGGGTGTTGGTGAGTGTCGTACTGTTCTGCCTGCAACTTACATGACTGTCATCCATCTGGCGCCTACCCTGAACCTACCTGCGATACCTACCTGGATTTCCTTTTCTCTGGAGAACTTATAAGCCCCGGTAACCACCTTCTTGCCCAACCTCAAGGGAACAAGCTAGCCATCACGACGAGGACGACACGCTTTCCCGGATCGCTGCTGCTACGGACGTCAGGTCCACGACGGCCACAATTTTTGCCAAGAAATAAGATGTCTGCCGCAACTTTGAGCCCCGCTGTCCCTCACAATCATCCACCACCACAATCGCCCTCCCCCTCACCAACACGATACCTCTCTCGACAATCCTCTCACACGGCGATTTCCATAGTCGATGCCTCGAAGATCAGCTTCTCTCCATCTCCGGAACCCGGAACGCACCCCTGTGACTCTCCTGCTATGGAGATCAGTGACCCGGCGACGGTAGAGGCACTAACGAAGGCAGCGGACCTCTTGCGCAGGGGTCAGTGCGTTGCTTTCCCGACCGAAACGGTCTACGGTCTGGGTGCAGATGCTACGAGCACTGTTGGAGTGAATAGTATATATGCCGCGAAGCAGCGGCCGCTGGATAATCCTTTGATAGTACATGTTTCTTCTTTAAGGCAATTGCGGGGAATACTCGCTCCTGCCGGCTCGGCCGCGACTACGAACGGACACACAACGAATACATGTGAAGGAGAGATCCCCGAAGTCTACAATGCTTTAATCTCAAAGTTCTGGCCAGGGCCGTTGACTATCCTCCTCCCGCTGCCTGCTACCGACAGTCCGCTGTCCACATCCGTCACAGCCGGGCTGCCGAAGTTCGCTGTTCGTCTGCCGTCTCACCCCATCGCTCGGGCACTCTGCCACCTTTCTTCCCTCCCCCTCGCCGCCCCTTCTGCCAATGCTTCGGGGAACCCATCCCCGACCAGCGCGTCACACGTGCTCACCGATCTCCGGAACCGCATCCCGTTAATCATTGACGGAGGACCTTGCTCCGTAGGTTTAGAATCAACGGTAGTAGATGGCCTCCGCGACCCACCCGTGGTCCTTCGCCCAGGAGGCATAAGTGTTGAGGCGATCCGCGAGCTAGGCGGGGTCTGGGCGAGGACGGTAATCTCAAGAGCGTCCCTCGAAGACGCCGCCGACTCCTCCATCATCCCCGAATCTCCCGGCATGAAATACAAGCACTACTCTCCCCGCGCCGGCGTGGTCCTGTACGAACCTGGCACTCCCGCTCCCCGCGGAAAGGATCTGGTGCGCTCCTCAAAGATCGGCAAAGTAGGCATTCTCCGGACGCGCACTTGGGAAGCTGGCGCTGGAAAACTCGCGCTGGACAGTTTGACACGCGAGAGCGACGATGCCAGGAGTGAGTCTTATGGGAATATGGGTGTTGGCGAACTTACCGTTGTCGAGAGGGATCTAGGCAAGGGCGGGGGGGAGATTAGCCGCGGGTTGTTTGCTGCGCTGAGGGAGTTGGATGATGCTAGTGTCGATGTTATCCACGTTGAGGGGATCGAGGAGGTGCTCGAAGGGTTGGCGGTTATGAACCGGCTGAGGAAGGCGGCAAGTGTGGTTGTGAGGAATGTGTGGTGAACGCACCCGCCAACCTCCAGAGTAGAGACGGCACAGGGGGCGAAAAGGGTTTCCTTTTTTTTTAAAAAATTAAATTTCTGTTTACCTTAATGGCTTTGCCAAGAGGTCCATTCGGCCGGGAGTTCCACTCCCTCCCTCACCTCACCTCACCACCAGCGCGCTCTCCGAGCGGATACCGACTCAAGCCACAGCCTTTATCAAAAAATATCTCTAGACCAATTTCATTGCTTTTCCTTTATTTCACCCGGCGCCATGGGGCTCCCCCGCTCCTTATTCACATCCGTTGTGCCCGGGGCTTATTATAGATCTGTTCTTTCTTTCTTTCTTTTAGTTTTAATTTCTTCCGCTCCTGCTTTGCAGGTGCATTCGTCAAGTCATGTAAAATTAAGTTAAATTAACACCGATTAAATCCTGAGAGTGCTGTATCGAATCACGAGGTATCACTCGGTAGTGAAATATTAGTTGTTGAATAGGAATAGATGATCACGCACTAGAGCTATGGACTTGTGTAGGCATATATGAATGCTTACGTGCTCTAGCCGTCCAATGTTGAAGGTTTCTTTAAATTTGTTATCCTTGCTTTCTTTTCTTCTTTTCTTTCCTTTCTCTCGTGTCAAGCTTCGTGACCAGTTTCCAAGAACACAAACAATAGCAACCTCAATCCTCTCGCTCACCTGCTTGCCTGATCCTGCTTGCCTGATTCCTTATCCTTTTGCACGGTTTGGGTTCACATCTCTTGACCCCAATCTCCGTATACCATCTCTATTTTCGATCTATCTCTCGTCACTTTCTCGTGCCTCCTCCCGTGGAATGTGGTTATCAATAATCGACCCATCGGCCATCCCCTCGTAATTTTTACTAGCTGTGAGACAGGATCCCCGAACGAGAGAGCCATATACTACGATAGTGTGTGTAAGTGCCAGACTCCATCCATATTATCCATGCCCCTTGCCGCATCCGTGGCCCCGGTTCGCTGTATATCCTCCGCGCTACGGTCTTGACCAACCTCCTGCATGTACGCACGCTATCAGGTTCTGGGTATGAATCTCTGCTCGTTACTCGTTTTGGATACCACTTCGTTATCTGCCCTTCCTTCACTAAGTTTTTTGCCCAATGGTAGGAAGGCACTCTGTATTCCCGTTTGCAGATGGGGAGGGGGGAGGAGAGGGAGGGGTAGGTAGTGCTTGTCACTGCAAATGGGAGATTTATGCGGGCTTGGGGATTGTTCCGAGTTTTCTCTTTTTTTCCCTTTTTCGGGCTGCGGTGTGCTAGCTATGAGGGAGTGGGGGGTGGTCGTAGTAGGTGGAGGGTGTTGCAGTCTTGGTTGGGCCGGGTGTAGGGTATTTCTACGATGTGAGAGAGGAAATGAAGGAAGGAGGAAAAGGGGGGCTCTGACACTGTAATGGATTTTTGTTTCTGCTTGTACTGGTCTTTTAGGGGCCTTACAATGATAAGGAGTGAAAGGCCTTACGCTTCTTGCTTCTCGTCGCTGTTAAAGGAAGTAGGGGATTGTATTCTTTCTGGCTGGCGTGGTGGCTTCAGTGTGGAGGTGCTATTGGTTTTTTGTGGGATCGAGGGGGGGAGGTAGGTTACCGATGGAATTGTGTTGTGATAATTATGTGTTCTCGAAGGAGGCAAAAGAAAGAGGTGGGAAGAGGGGGGTGATGGGAAATGTGAGATTGGTGGTAGTTGTGGTGGGCATTCTTATGGGATTTGCTGGCACACGAAGTACTGTTTGTAGAAGCCTAGCCTGGGTGGAGGGAGTCGTAGACGAGTTTGTGGTTGTTTTATTTTACAGGTAAGCTAAGGTAAGGATTAACCGGAATGGGGGCAACGCGGGTGGTGGTAATGGATTTTGGTATCATATCATGAGGGGTCACTCGGTTGCCTGAGTTGGCTGCGTCAGGTTTAGGGGGTATGGTTCCGGAAGACTAAACTCTATACCAACTTTTCTAGAAAAAGTGTGACAATTTTTCCTGCGACGGCAACCGTAACACCCCTCCAATTTTTTCATTTCTTATTTAGGGTATATTACCCTAAACATTAATTTCTGGAACCTAGGTCAAACATCATATTAAAACAAATTAGTAATATACTATTAAGTAACTATTACATATTATTATACTAAATTTGATTATATAACTACAATTATATTATAATAATATGCTAGTTATAAGTTATAATAGTATTATAATAGATTATCAAAACAACTTAAAAACATTTATTTCGAAAATAATCTATGATATGGGTGTTGATAT